GTTTCGCGCATACACACGCGCACACATACACGCACAATCTCTCTTTCTTAATCCTTTTCTTCTTTCTTTCTCTCACGCAGATATACGTACGCGTTTCTATCAGGCTTGTCATCTCTTATTGGGCAATCGTAAAATTGTACAGGATAATTCAGATTCAGTCGCGATATCGATACTCTGAATAAAAATGTTTTCAAGATGGGTTTACACAAAAAAATACATGCTAAACACAAATAATAATTACTTTGTTTCAAATATTTCAAAAGTTCATATATCTGCAAATTTATATCACAAACATTAAATTTATTCAAAATATATTCTGAATTCTAGCAAGTTTAATACTTCAATCAAGATGACCAAATTAAAACAAATTAGACTTGTTATATAAAATCATTTCTTCAATCAATTTTATAATATTCTTAAAAAAAAATCTTGTCTTGAGTACATAATAATGAGTTTTTATAAAATTTATAATAAGTATATTTTAAAATTATTACATCAAGAATACATTTTTTATTAAAGATAACTGTTACTTAAAAGAAAGAAAGTAATCACTTTTCTTAGCAATAGAATGATATTTTTCTGTGTTTTCAGTATTGAGGGGGATATAAGAATATTACTTTCAATACAATTAATATTTTACAATGCAAAAAATTTACTGACTATTCCGAATCACCCTGTACAAGTTTCTTGTATATACATACATGTATATATATATGTATATACATATATATATATATATAATCGTGTATCTTTATATTTGTTATATTCATATTTACAAAAGGTCGTTCGTTAAATGTTAATATTCAATATCGCAACTGTTATTACATTATAACTTTATTCCTGAGTAACCATTCATTAAGAGCCTTATCGAGAGACTCGCCCCTCCTCCTGTTTCATACTAAATAGTATCAGATAGATCGTTTAATGCTAAGCGCCGTGATGTGTGATCGAGGTAGCGAAAATGATATAAATACAGAAAAAAAGCGTGACAGAAGTTTCCCATTCGAGAGCGATTCGCATATAAAAAATCATATCTAGCTGTGCCATACAGATAAGTCACGTCGATTACGCCTATTGGTCATGTCGATTACGAGGACGAGCTAATTTACACAGAAATGAAGAGTTACTTTTTTCCATATAATTGTGTAAAGACATTTCGTTCAAATAATTTTTAGACATTTCTTTAGTCATTTAGTCTTTCGACTTTCGCAATTTCTGGTTCGCTACTGTTTAAAGTTTGAATTGCTATGTGTTACATGATCGTTTACAAAATGTTTATTGTTGTTTCGAAATATCTATAATTGCATAAGAAGTAATTTGATACAGTGGTATTTGTAAATTTGCAATTTGTAATTTGATACAGTGGTATTTGTAAATCTGCAATTAATCTGCATGAAAAATCATGACGTATAAATCTTTTACTATCTTACATTCAGAGCGATATTAAAGTGGAAGTACAAATAATGATATTTTTGTATAACGAAAAAGCGATGAAATCTATGGCGATGAAACCAATTATGCATAATCGTATAACTTAAAAAATTAAAAATTCGTTGTATTCCATGTTTTCGCAAATATCTCGCGATAAATTCATTTTTCTATAATTACGTATACAGTTCCGATCTAATAGGATTAAACGTCGCTGAATCCGTTGTAAATTTTGGATATTCCTCCTCTAAAAATCTTTTTTTCTGATCTATAAAAAAAAATCACATTTAAGATTTAATTTTTCTTATGCAATTCATCTAATATTATTTACGTACACGCAACATATACATGCCGTTCAATGTCTCTTCAAATTATTCTTTTAGTGTGCATTTCATCACGAATTCTCAAATGTCACAACGGAATAACGACGTTCTAAAACCTATTATATTTTAAATTTGCTCTTTAAATGATCTTTGCATTTCTATTGCCCAAAAAAAAGGAAAAAAGAAAATTTTCAGGATACGAGGAATAGAGAAGTTTTTATGTAAAAATTTTTTATGTAAAAGTGCGTGGATGTCAATAATATATCTCTGCATATACTCTTGCTATCCGATATGGAATAGCGTAATCGCATTAAGCGTTAAGGATTCTGTTGCATGTACGATAGCAGTATATATTAAAGGCAAACCGATTATTACCGTTTCTGGATCACTTTGTGGAGTTGCCGATATAATCAGCTTTGTTCTAATGGAAGAGTACGATATACAATTAGCTCTCTCGTCACCGTGTTCATTTTTTAAGAAATGCTATTTACGTGACTTAAAAAGAAACGTTACATTTATGATTGTGACGATTCCAATCACTATTCTTGGCACATACAATGCGCTCGTATAATTTACTTCGATATTTATAGTCGGCTGCATTTTCTACGAAATCGCGATTTTACATTAAAAGAAGACCATTGTAAAACTTGGCACTATATTAATACATGTTAGAGATTGGTTGATGAGATCCACAAAATGACCAGAAATTCCATTGATACTTTCCACGTAGCGATTATCTGGCTGTTGAACGTTCGATTACGTAACGTATCTATTTAAGTATATGCAAAACTTGTAAATTTGGCCTTATAAAAAGTTGATGAACAACGCATGCACATCACCTGTAGGATCAATTGTATGCATAATTGTCGAAAACGTCACGTGAAACTTCTGATCGATATGACTTTTTTTCCTAAGGGAAGGCTGGACTTCGAAATCGTCATTAAAATTAAGGACGTTGGAAACGTGACGTTTAATCGTTAAATATAATTAGGCAATGGAACATGCACTCGAATTATGAGAGAAAAAGAGACGGATCAACCGCACAATGGATGCGTCGAGTGGTCAGTCATTAATAAGTTTCTTTCTTCTTGTAATGAATCTCAATCATTATCGCTGCATAAATCTCCAATGGCGTTATCTCTCTGCACATCTACGTCGCTTGTAACACCGATAAATATTTCAATAAACTCAATATCGCGCAAACAGTCATACGAAAGTGTTATTATGATAGAGAAGATGATTCGATTGATCATTGATAATTGATATCGATCGCGTAATTCGTATTGTATTCCGAATTGTAATAAATGTATCGCACTACTTCCTGGAAGAGTTATTTTACATTTTCCTTACAGCTGGGTTTTATTCGGTCTAAACGACTCGGAGCAACGCGTGATTATCGTCAGTTAAAAATCGATTAATTGAAGCGCGCTCTTCGGACTGTGGCACTTAAATTGTAAATTGTTCACTTGCACTAATAAATTTAACAAGTATATTGTGCTACAAATATCTGTATCTCCGATACTGATAATAATAACGATGATAAAATAATGAGTAATTATATCATAACATATAAACGAGCTGTAATTATTTAATTAAGTTATAAATTATCAACATTTGTCGCATTGTCTTGTTACTGCTTCCAAAATTTTCAGAAAAAAATTGGCGGATAATCTGCAAATGACGTATCCTTTCGTCGAATAACTGTGTATTCCGACTTCGCGATGCTTACAATCGTTTGAATTGATAAAACTTATGGGTGTACACAATTTGTACGCTCAACAGGATCAACATAGAATATCGCTAATCACAATTAAACTCTGAACATATAAATATCACAGCCAGTTAAACAGCGTAAAATATACAGCACTAACAACGTTATTTACAGGTAATCATTAACGATAAGATGATTGGATATCCATCGAAGACAGGATCCTGAAGCTCCGAACGCAAGATACTTTTCCAAGTGGCAAATGATATGATAATTGCTTATATATGTACAACACGCACACATCGTGTCTACGTTACGATCACACGTTGCTCGTGAGACTATCGTTGTCCACAGCACATATCTCCAAGGATGTAATTTGTAATTAAGGTACGCAAATGTACACGCACGTACGCAAATCACCCACGTTACACGCATATAAATTTAATATAATGTAGATAATAATTGTCTAAGTAAGGCTGATTAAACGCATTCTCATTCCTCCATAACGAGTCTCTCTCTCTCTCTCTCTCTCTCTCTCTCTCTCTCCCTGTATATCTTTTATTGCCTGCATTCATTAATCGATCCTCCGTTATTGCAAATCTGCAATTCCAGACAATACGCGCAGTATCGAGAGACGATGTACGCAATTAAAGTATTTTAGCTTTCATTTTTAAATTTTTTAAAATCTTTTAAAATTTGTGTTCATTTTTTTAAAAGTAATTTTCGATAAAGAGTGGAAATAACATTAAATAAGAGAATAACTCTCCATATAATTATCTGCAATATTAATAATAAAACGCTCGTAAGTATAATACAGTTTTCAAAAGCTTTCGTTTATGGGTTTGATGTTTAATTCTTTGCAGTTCTATATCAAGTTGTATTCGACATTGTGATACTATACATAATTGTTTAATTTTGAATCGATATATGATTATAATATATATATATGTATATTATAATTAATAATCATAACAATTTAATCATAATTGTATATTACAATTAAACTATATATTTTTAGAATCTTAAAAAATATGAAAAAACATGCAATGTTTTTTCTTAAAACAACGTTTGTCATTAAAACCTCACTTTTTATAACAATGTTGCAATGTAACGATGCATAACAAAGTTGCAATGTGTTTCCAAGGAACGCTTTATTCGCTAGAAATAATTTAAATCGCAAAGGTTAGATACTTCTTTCTGATGTACTTTCAACCATCGAATGCACTTTATCTCGATACCGAGCGTCTTGCGTGAATCATTTATCTCCAGACCCTTCTCAGTCCGCTCGTTCTCGGAGACGGAGGCGGGGAAATTCGAGTATCTCGTCTACCTCGGGATCGCGCGTACAGGAATAAATATAATCTCAACGGTTTATCGAAGTGTCGCCCTAACGTGTTACAAATTCCCCTAATAAATTTACAGAGGTGTTCTAAATCAACGTGGCAGTAGAGTGATGTTCCCCATCGGCCGCGGAGAGCGCCGTAACTCGAGCGGACGATTACGCGGGACGCACGCCTGTAATCTTCGCAAAGCTTTCGTAATTTTTTTTTTTTTCCGTAGTAAGAGCACTTAATCGCTATGTGTTTTCCAAACTGATCTACCGGTCGTGATGTTTTCTTTTTTTCTTCCCTGCTACCTTCGTTTCTTTCTACACCTTTTTTCGGGTTACCGCGACTTCGCAACACGGCGGGATTAGCTTATCGGGTACTGATACTTCCTAAGGATAAAATGTCTTACGTGATAATCATTATTCGGTGAATATCATACAGATGACATGAACCCAGTCCGCAAGATTTATGTTGCTCTTCTATCTCCTCGGGTTGATCGCTCCCGAGTTCAAAGATTGATACTGATATGATTTCGACGTAATTAGCGATACTGTAAAAAATGCTTGAATCTTTCTAAATTATACATTTCTAATATCTTTTTCATAATTTATACTTTTAATTTTCTTCGTCTTAATTTGCATTATTTCAAATTTCGATAACTAAAAGCATTCCAGGACAATCTGCTTACTTGTGAAATCGACAATAAGTACATTACTCCAGAATTATACCAGTCTCAATCAATCATTTTTTATAATGCGTCCATTCACTCAGCTTAATTTTGCGATCGCTCGAATTACCTTCTTCATTATTCTTCGAATCGACGAAAAAGTAAAAGAAAGAAGGAGATTCGATTTTTTCTCTTCTTTCGTTACCTTCTTCATTTTCATCTATATGACTCTAGCCAATTTGATCCATTTTTCGACATGTCGGAAATTTCAGATACATCGAGGTATGGAATTGGAAGATGAACATTAAAAAACATACACGTCTAAGGACTCTACTCCGTAATTTATAAACGTTAAAAAAAATCGCTGCCGCGTGTTACAAACATGGGAGGAGAACGAAATGGTCTCTTCTCTCTTATCTTCCTCTTTTTTCACGAGATTCGGTGAATTCGCGGGCTCGTGTATCGCGTCCTGCCTTCTTCGCTGTGGGAGAATGAAGTGTTCGGTTCGACTGTCTCGGTACATTATGAAGATAACGATGTCACCGATTTTCGTCAAGAATGAAAGATTAGGAGTTTTTTCTAAACTCCTTTTTTGACCGAACGAACAAACGATGATCACGGGTGGAAGCGGAAGTCGGAAGCAGTGATGTAGGTGATGGCTTTAGTTGGTCCCGAACATGAGTTAGTAGAGAGTTGTGCAAGAATCGTAATTACTTGTGATCAATATCGCCTGTTCGCTCCTCTTTAAATTACTTTAAAATAATAATAATTTCTGTAAATCATCAAACCTTCAAATATCGAAAAAAAAAAAAAATATATATATATATATATAATCTCATTGATGAGAAAAACGAGCAATGTCAAAATTATTCTCGACCGATTACTAATAACAATGAACGAGCAGTGTTCTGATTCTGTTCTACTTTTGCCCATTCGTGTCTACGATTTAAAGCTACTTAGACTCGACATTACTGTAAGGCGTATAAATATATTTAATTGATCCAAATTGACGCATCGCCGTCGCTGGCGACCAGATAAGTCCTAATCTGCAACTGAGTAATTATAATCTTTGCACATACCCGCTCCAAGAATCGCGTGTCGAAACGTGTCGACTGTTGCGTCACGGATCTCAGCTCACGGCAATACTGCGCGCGTCGAACGTGATACACACACGCACACACACTCTCTTATCTCTCTTCCCTTCTTTCCGCCTCGCTTGATCTGCATCTTAACTAATATGAGCTATCTATTAATTAATCTATACGGTTCTATATTGTACGGATCAATTATATCCAGTGGCAGTTTATTTACAGTGCGGCTCGAGCCGCGGCCCTCTGATATTAGTGTCATCGATTTGTAAATGATTTGGCGTTCGCCATCGCTCCAGTCCCAACCAATTTTGCAAATCGATCGCGGCACATTGTGGACGTAACACGTCACAAAGTCTCTGTGTCTGGTCTCAAAGTTAAAGTGAAATTAGAAAATTAAGAAACCGCCGAAATTTCTCGGGTAAAATCATTTTTGCTCGGTTAATAGTTACGATTGAAATAATTTCCGTGAGATTACGATGGTATCAGTTAATTGAGAAAATTATGCCGCTTCATCGATCCAACAATCGATCTCCCCGTATACGATTTCGCGCCAAGCAAAGCCGCGGGCCGCGGGTCCGGCCGCATCTACTTCAATGTCGTCTTCTATTTACAGGAATAGCACGATCATATAATTGAGATATCTCGCGCTAGTGGTACCGTTGAGCTTCGTGCCGCCGCCGTTTTCCTCGTCGTTCTCGCTGGCAGTGTCGCCTTTCGTCTCGACGATGGTGTCGAGTCGATCCATCGCACCCCTCTGGGGATGATAATTACCCGAGCTCTCGCTCTCGGGGGTCTCGTCAGAGTCAACGTCGATCGTCCGATCGTTCACCTGGATCTTCACCACGGCGTCCACGGGGTACTTGCCGTTACCTTCGTCGCTGGAGCCGGATCTGCCAGTGCTCGACGTGACTCCGGCCTCCCGTTCGCAACGCGGGCATACCTGACCGTTGGACGAGCCCTCGTCGCTCTGACAGCGGAAGCAGATCAGGTCGCCGTCGCTGGAGAAGTCGCAGTGCTCGCAGTGCACGACGACGTAGCCGTTACCTCGGCAGAGCTCGCAGATCGGGCTTTCGCGGTCTGTGAGCAGATCGACGGATTAGCTCGATAAGTTGCCACGCGCGATCTAGGATTATCGCCTGATCGTTCTGAGAAGCAATCCCCGACAGCGGCAGTCGCATCGGAGATTGCACGAAGCGTCAGCGAGAAATGCGGATGCAAGCAGCAGCGAAATCAGCGGAAAGAATAGACGGTGTGCGTGCGAAAAATAGAATAGAAAGATACTATGTGTTTTTTTTTTTTTTTTTAGATAAAAATACGAGAGAAGAGTAGAGATACTTTTCTAATCCGCTAAAGTTGTTTTGCGAGCATTTACCTACGAGCTACCTACGTTAAGTAATAACATCCATTCTCGTAACAGGATTAAAATTTAAGGATTTGCAGTCTACATAATAACAAAAAAGGATTAAATTAACCCTTAGTACACACGGACTTTTTATTGGACTTTCATCATTTATGTCTTGCTTTTTTTTTTCAAGAAAATAGGCGCTTCTGGTGATTAGTTATAACATTTTTATATACTATTTTTCTCAAATATCTGTATACAATCTTATAAATACTTTCCAAAGATGTTAAGGTATATGTAAAAATCACTTAATAATTTTTGCATGTTAAAATAATAAAAAAGGAATCTTTGACACACGAATTATTTTATTGTGTGTAATAAAGGATCGGAAAATTATTGCCCACATTTCTACTAATGTAGATTAATTCTAATCTCGATTTAACTAACTCTTCATCTTTTTAGGAGTTCTTAAAAATTAAAAAAAGAAAGAGACTAAGTTGAACTAATATTAAAGTTAATCTATTTGTTAATATTAAAGTTAATCTATATTTTACATTGATAGAAACTAGCATATGTATACTAAAAGTTAAAAAAAAAATCTCACATATCCTGAATTTTTTTTACTAAGGAAGAATAAAGGTTCTAGATTAGAATGTAAGTGCGAAGACCGAAAATATCATGTGTATACCAGATGATGGGAAGACATCGGATCATCGGAGAACACCGAGGCCATTCAAATTAATAAAGCAAAGCGAACGAACTTGTTCAATCCTCGGACCAGAACTGGTCGAGGTACTCGCCTCTGTCGACGTCACCTCGATCGTCCGTATCCCTGGCGGTCCATCCGCGTCGCTGTGGCTCCTGCGTTCGGTAGGATCGAGGTGACGTTATCGGCACTGCTTGCTCCAGATCGTGGTACGATCGCGGCGACGTCTGCGCCACGCGATCTTGATCCGTATGGTACGAGTGTGGAGAGGACAGCTTCACCGGGCTTCTGTAGGCACGAGAGGTTCCTGGCTCCTGATGCCGGTCATCTATACGTTCTTCCACGTATCTGCCGGCATGTGAGTCAGGTGTTTGCGGTTGGTATGTGCAGGTGTGCGTCTTCTGATCGCACTCGCTACACAGCAGCAGATTCGATTTGCTGCCGGGTTGCGAGACGTAGCCGTTGCAGGTACCATAGTAACGCTCGTCTTCGTCGCTTTCGAAAAGGTGCTGGCTCAAGCTACCGATCGACTTCGTGTCACTGAGGACCCTCGCATCGTCCAACTCCGACTGATCGCCGTACCTATCGTACAAAAGCAAGATTGATTAATAATAATAATAACTATATTGCAAAGTTTGATTTTAGACTGACAACAAAAAAGCATTCTCTTTTAATTTTGATAAGTTTTTAATATGTGTAGTTTAGATCAAAATAAGATATTTTTTCTATATTTAAGGGATGAAACATTCCTTTGGAGAAAAGCAGTTATTTTTTTTCAATGGAAATATCGTCAAAATTATAAAAAAATAAAACAAAATTTTTAGTCGAATAGCCTTATGAGAATTCTCTTTACAACAATAGTTGAAAATTAAAAAATATTTTTTATAAACAAAAATTTTTTTCCTATTATAAAAAGTATTCTTGAAATCATTCAACTTTTATTTTTAAAAAATCTCATGGCAATAATATTCGCTCTGAAAAAGAATCAATTGAATGTTTCAGCCCCTAAAAGTGCGTATGGACATGTATAAAAAAAATACGTGTCTTTTATTTTGGTCGAGACTACAAATATTAAAAGCTCATCAAAATTGAAAGGGGACATTTCTATATTTCCTTGTGAATATATATAGAAGAAAGGAAAAGATAAAACAACGCAAACAGCATCAATAATATTGTTCCTGTAATAACTGTAATAATGCAATATAAAAGAAATAAAATTATAATATAAAAACAAAGGCTTTGTGATTAAATCAATAATAGGTCATGTTTTATGCGTAAATAACTTTGTAGATTTGCATTCTACAGTAATAACGTATAAAATATTTATTGGCTTTTATGCTCCTGATATATTATAATTAAAAATATAGTAATAAGTTAAGTACCTAGTATCAGCGGTTCCAACAAGGTAGTGGCGTATCCGCTCGATCTTGGTCTTGCCGCGCTCTCGCGGCATTGTTTCTCGTTAAATAATGCTCTCCCGATTTCTCTCATTGTTGTCCTCGACGCTCGAGGTCGAGCTTGCCCCGCAGATCTGCATCTCGATTTCGGCCAACCGATGCTCGACCTCCCACTGTTGCTGGTTCAGCTTGACGCTCATCGCTGCGTTCTCGGTTTCCAGGCATTTCAGGCGTTCGCGGAGACGCTGAATCTCCGCCAATAGAGCCTCGTGGGTACCAAACAAAGGCGTTGTACCTTCGCTCACCAGCTGCGTCATGCTGTTGCAAGTCATGCCTGAAACAAGACGAGTATTGATGTATAGAGATGTTGTTCACATTTCTCAAAATTAAGTTAGTAATTTTCACAAAAAGTGACATTAATAATTTTGTGAAAAACATCTGTGATGTTTTTGTGATGAAGAAATAACTAAAATGGTGTATCTGAAAGTTTAACCTTTACAGGATAGGAAAGCTACTACAGTGGCTGAAACAGTGTCATATGTTGAGGCAGGGAACATAATAAAATAATGAATTATAAATCTTGAATTAATTAACAAATCTTACTCAAGAAAAAGATTTTAGATTTTTCAAAAATTATAGACTTTTAGTTTCTAAAGGTTAATAACAATTAAATAAATGAGATAGAAATAAATAAGCAAGCGGCAGAACGCTCAATACGAATTCGTGAGATAGTTACAACTGACGGTTGAATTATTCTCCATCTTCCACATAATGTGGAGATCGCGTTTCAATGAAAGATATTCAACTTTATATACCTTATCTATCTACAAGTAGGGTCGCTGCTGATATATATAGGCCATTCCACAATTACGTAGTTTAACAATTGATTGCAATTGTAAGAATTGATCAATTACAGTCGAATATAAAAAAAATATTCATAATGTTTTATCAATTTTTTAAATAAGCTATTTTCCAAAATAATTTATTATTGAATACCTTTACAAAGAGAGCAATTTTTGTTCTAGGACATATTGTAACTTGTATGTTGTAGAGTGGAAATGTAAAAAATAAAAATTTTGCCATTGAAGTTAATAGAACAATTTTTCATGTTTCACGTTTTCGCTCTAGGGAAATGTTACATGATCAGTATTCTGTTGTTAAAATGGTTTGTTATGGATCTGTATACATATATTGAAAGATTTTAATAACATCGAAAAATAATCCAATCCGACTAATAGTTTCAGATTTTGTGATACGATTTCTTTAAATTTATGTACAGTAAATACATTTCAGAAGAAATGAAATCAGACAGAAACGAGTACATGCAATTAATGTCAGGAACTTTCTAAATTCTTTGGAGTGAGATTTCACTCTGTTGAAATGAGATTCACTCTGAAGAATTTAGAAAGAATAAAGAATTAATTTTTTTTAACTTTAACACCTTCTCTTCCTCCTTGTTAACGCGTCTTTGTATACAATCTGTTTACAATGATCCTAATTACATACTAAATATACATGTGAGTACGAAGTTTTGTCTTTCAGTCCGCTGATATAGTACAAGTGCGCGCAATTATCAATTGTTGATAGTTAGATTAGATGAGGAGCGTGGAAAGAGCAATGCACGAGTTTTGCACTTAACAGCGCCGGCGTCGGTGTGTATACGAATGCAAAATGAATCCTCGAGCGTATTCGCGGGTCTTTGTGATTCACTGATGTTGATTAATGCGCACAATTAGTATTTCTCTCTTGGTACCAATGAGTTGCACTAGCGCAATAATAGAATTCGCATACAAGATGAAGCCGCCTCTCCCGGTCGCATCGAGAGCTGATACAACGTACAAGGATTAGCATTAGCAAACTGCTAACTAATTCACGAATTACCGCGGCGTATCGTCTGGCCGTTCAGGAAACCTCGAGTATTGTCGAGAGACTCATCTTGATCGTGTCACTCTTCGCGTCAACATTCGAATTCGGCAAACGGAATTGCAGCGGCTATTTCGGGAGATCGGTTTTCCATTTTATACCATACCCACCGGAATAGCGATTACGCGTGGCGATGTTTCGCCAGTTAAATCAGTATACTGTCGATTCGCATCCGATTTGTTACCGCCCGCAGCGAAATCTGTCGCTTTATTTTCGGGAGAGGGGTATTAACGTATCATACTGCGTTTTGTTCATACACGCGCTTTAAACGGAAACGCTCGATTACCCGTGGAATTTCCAGTTTGCGCAAATCGGGGGGAGGGGGGGGGGAGGATTTTATTCCCCAAACGACATATAAACGTCGGCAGAAACACGTTAAAATCGTTACTACCTATCGTATCTATCGGGGTTAATGGTCGGGCGATTTTACGAGTGGCGCCGAGCGTCGCTCGTCATTCATTATCCTCGTGATATTTCTGAATTTACCTTTTTGCCGTTTTACAGCCGATAAACGGCGATTGTACACGCGACACGCTTCGCATTATTCACGTCTGATTAGATTTGATTTGTAATGAGATCACATCCCGCGGAATTCTAATCCGCGGCGCGGAGATTGCGACTGAATCGGCGGTTCGTTTATATGAAGGCGCGATATAAAGTCTCTTCCGGAGACGCGAACAATACTGTACGGTTCATCAATCTTTCCCTTCATAATGATAAACAATTAAAAGCTTATTCAAATATGACGATTAAATTTTCCGAGATAAATGAATCGTAACGATATAAACAATAAAATGCATTTCTAGAAATATCATGAATGATGACAATTTCCATAATGCTGCGGAGAATCTGGGACCTTGTGTGTGTTGCGAGCACATGTGTGCTTTCAGAGTCTTTTGTTCTGAAAATACCTCCGGGATGGAACTTATTACAAAACGTTCAATCGAACGTAACGACATCGATGGTTTATGGTACAAACATTACACGGCCTTTCTAAAAAAGCTTTTATGGAACGTGAAATATTGATGACTAGAAAGTGAGAGGCTACGAAGGTCTTCCTATTCTCTCCATGTTCGCGCTTCACTTAATCGTGAAGTCTTATAGTCTATAAGAAACTACGGTTTTGCGTCAGCAGTTTGCCGACGAGCACACCGTCGGCACCGTTATCGACAATGATTTATATACCCCGGTATAATATCGCAAAAGAATCGCCAGCGAGGTAGCGATCGATGATATTTAAAATAAATTCGATATGAAAGTTGTCCTACACAGGTAAAACGAATTTACAAGTTATCAAGTATGATTGGGATAGGATAAAATTTTCATTGCGTTCGCAGCATTTTATCGATGATCGGAAAATACAATTTACGTGATTACTCGGCGTTGCGAGTGCTTACAGAAATATCTACTACTTTTCGTAAATAATTATATTGAATCCATTCTGATTCGGAGAACAAATTTACTTTCTCTACACTTTTCTACGATGCTTCTCTTTTGCTTATTTTGTTAAAAAAATTTTTTCCCATAGAGGCAATACGCGGGATATTAATCAGTTTGATAATTAATATCATTATTTTTTATTTGATAATCCGAATGTTCATTAATCCGCTTTAACCAGCGATTTTTTGAAAAGTAGCACAGTAGTCAATTAAATTGAAATGCAGTAGTTATAGCCAGTAGTTATAGCCATCACTGGCAACACCGTAAGAAGATTACGAGTTGCGATTGTGATACAGATATACCAGATATGTAGAATGTTATAACACATAACAATGCAACAGATAAATGATCCATTTCTACTGTATCGTTTCCTGGTAGAAATTTTATGCTACCCACATTTTTTGCAATCACTGGACAGTTTATTAATTTTTGTCTAGTAACTGATAAATAAAACTACTTAGAATTCCAATCAAGATATAATGCTTTGGCTGCAGTTACTTAAAATTCAAATCTATTTGCTGAACATAAATTTAAGAACATATACAGAATAATAAACGTATAATAATAATAATAATAATTTATTATTAACCTATAATTAATAAATCGTTTATTATTAATAATCTATTAATAATCTATAAATAATAATAGAGCAGGACACAAATTGCGTATCAATACTTTTATCAGGAAAATTGTTTTCATCATTGAATAAAATTCTATCTAGTTCTATCTAAGTTCTTGTCCATTTCCTACGCAGTATTGTTACAACTAATGAGAATACAATAATAGACGAAGTAACTGGACGGGTGTCTAGGAAAATTGTACATATTTCTACCAAGGTCAGTATCCTTTTGAAAACGTGCCAGAAAATGTAAAATTTTGTGCAGAGGAGAGGTAGAACTATACTCCTACTTTGGATCGAAATTCTGAGAAAAGGAGATCTCCTAATGTCACATCGTATCGGGGTGATTGGTGAATGAGGGGAGCTTACCGGAATGAGTGGACTGCCTGCCAGTGGAGGCTTGGGTCGCGGCTGACGGCGGCGCCCTGGCCGTCTGGTCCTCGCTGCTGGGACCACTGCTGGCCCCGCTTATCGGGCTCTCCGCGCCTCTGGGCACGTTGTTCGTGTCCGCTAGAACCCCCGTACCCGGCATGGCGCGAGGTGTCACCGGACTCGGACTCGGCGAGAACAACGAGGCGGCCGTCGAGTACGCGTGGGACTTGAGGTCGATTGGCGATATCCACATGTCCTCCAGCGACACGCGGCCTCGCGACTCCACCAGACCGGGCGTGCTTTGGCACCTGCCCATGGCGACTGGAAATTTACATCTTGCTTTAGTAAAAGCGGTGTTTCCATTGCGCGGGACATCAGCTTTCAATATAATAATATTAATTATTTATTTGCATTAAAACAATTTATATCATTGAATATTTTTGATATTAAGTTATACGCTTTGTACAGATTCAAATTTAATAATTAATGTTTCTTTGTTAAATACAATCTCTACAGATAATAACAGTAAATTTAAATGAAGCGTAATGGATTAAATATTTTTCTCTTTACTATAGAAATGAAAAATTGAATATCTGTTAAGAAAATTATTTGTTATTATAGGACGAGCTGTAATAGGTGTAAGGAATGCAATTTCAGTAAAAAAGTTTAAGAAATACGTGTTTAACATGTTTTATATCTGATAAATTCTGTGTGCCAAAAAATTAATATGACAGAATAATGAACGCTTTCGCAAATTCACATTAGTTAATTAACATAAAGTAGTATGGTTTTGTGTTTCGTTTAGATTCTCGAGTTTCAATCTGTTTGGTAATCTGTTTTCGCGCAGATAGGATTTTATTTTAAAAATCGTGACGATCCGATGGTCCAAAAAAAAAGAGTTGCGGTATTACTATACTATGTCGCTATGTCGCTTTTTCATCTTTCTGGAAGTAAAACTGCCGTCGCGCATGAAAAGCTCAACCGTAGTCGTCAGAATTTATGAAATACGAGAAAACAACGAGAAGAGCTAGCCATTTATTTAGGATATCATTCATTCGTGATGCGTGTTATCCATGCATCGTGTTTACGCACGTCGTGACTGATACGATCCATACGTGCTCTCGAATTTCCGCTTTGAGGTGTGTTGACATTTAACCGCGACGTCGACAGTATTCAGTGATATCAATAGTACACTATTTCACTTTGATGCAGATTTTCCGATCATCGAGAACGCATGATGTTTCGACTCATTACAAGTTTCCGCTTCGCGATAATATTATACCTTTGCACGAAGACATAACAATCATGAGAGATGAATGAGAGAACTTTGCTCCATTATAGCAAAAGTCCGCATCAAACAATTCATGTTAGAATTTAGGATAGAATTTTATCATCTTACTCAAAAAGGACAGTTTGATAGAACTATCTAAAAATTCAGCTAGATATAGAAAAATAATTTTGTTACACCATCAAAATAATTATGTAGGGTACACAAGTAGGTTGATAGAATGTCAAAACTTTGTATAGTGTTGCTCATCATGCTTAGTATTATTGTATAGTAATTACGGAACACTTTATAGAAAGAATAATTAAGCGGATAAGTAAAAAATCCAAGATAAAAATAGAACGTCTTATATAATTATTTTGCTAATTCAACAAAATTATTTTCAGATTTGTAAATTTTTAGATAGTTTAGCAAAACCGTTCTTTTCATATGATATTGTACTGCGAATCTTATGTGCTACACATTTTATAATTTTATGCTTTCTACGGAAAGCATTTTAAAAATCTAAGATATATAATTATATACATATATATATGTATACAAAATATATGTTAAAATACACGCCTGTAATAAGATATATAGCATGCAAAATAATATATATTAAATACTATATGAATTATGAATCATTTGAAAAGGGCTTAACGATAACCATTAAATTTATGCAAAATTGATAAGAGATATCCGTGGGTCAAAAAATGCGGGTTGTGAAATAAAAAAAATTATGTAAAACAATTAGAAATATGTTTGTTTATCGTACTCGTAAATATTTCTAGTCAAAGGAATTTTTTTTAATTATTCGATTAATGGTTACGTAAAACGTGTCACGGATCAGTTAAATTAAAGATCCCTCCGTAATTAAATAAAGTGACCTTTAAATATCAAGGGAGGTAAATCGCGGATCAAGACGCTAATAGCGAACACGACGGCAAATCCAAAAAAAATTGTTATCTTCGTGACGCACGAAGTATGGGAATTCTTTGATGCTATTTCAATTAGGAGTCTAAGTATAAGTTACATCGTTTAGCCTTTTTATGCTTTTTAGCAAAAGTGCCCTTCGTCGATTTTGCAATCTGCGAAAAATCGCATACCTTTAGATCTGTAAACGTTACGGCAGCAACATGTCTTTGTTCACTTTTATGTTAATTAGAGGACGTTGCACCGATAACAACAGCCGACAGCGGATCGATAGGCCGGATCTCGTTCTCGGCATCGCCTACGCACGCAGCTTTTCCTCCTCTCTCATCACTCGCCGCGCCATAACTCACGTTACGCATTACACTTATTACAGCGACCTAATTTTTCATACGTTATCCCTTATAGTAACGTAAAAGTACATTGGCTCGCGCAACGAGATGAGTGCCGAATGAAAATCTGCCGTTTTGATAGTGATGAATGGCTCGAGAAGTTTATAAATGAAATAAATTTCAGCGTAAGCGTATTACTGGAAAATATACGATGATAGACCGGCGATAGCTCGCGTCCTTAAAAGAAACGTAGCGATATCTCTCAAGATGTACTCGAGCAGAATATCTCGTTCTATTCAACGCCGCTTTTACGACTTAAAATTCAGTATATTAACATTATAGCTTTTGGATCTTTCATCATACTTATTCTTAGAAGAAAAAAGAAGCGAAAGAATGTAAACAAAGAACGCGAAAATAAAATCTTTTTTATGTTCTCTCTTATAGAGAAATGTCTGTTTAAAACTAAATTAAATCTCAGATTTTCATCGGTTTTTATAAACAGTGTTTATACTTTGCAGTGCATCATAAGGTTTGTTAAACGACTTTTCCGCCGTTTTATTTTTGTCTTTTATATTTAAAAAGGAATACAGTTGGAAAATTTGTGTTAAATTTGATTTTTACGTGTTTTAAATGTCTATACAAATTTTTGTGTTAATTTAATATAAGATAAATACATTAAAAAAGTATTACAAATATTATGCAAAAAAAAATACAAAAATATAATATTGTGAAACAATTTATACGCAAATTATGGAAGCGTATTTCTTCAATACACTTAACATTTATATATAAATATATTATGTTTTAAATTTATTATATTAAATTGAAATATAAAAATAATAAGGCTCAATAAATTAAAATAAACAGAAAGACAAAGGGCTACGAGCCTAAAACAATTATTTTTCTTTGTCTTTTTGTTTATTTTTATATTAAATTGATATATGTATATTTCATTTATTTATCTTAGAATTTACGTTTTAAAATACATTATTTTTATATTTGCTCATTTATTTACAAATTATGTTATTTTAAGATTAAGAAATGTTGATCAAATTAGCACAAAATATTTAAATAACACAATCACATTATGTTAAACTAACATTCAACAATACATTACAAATTCAACACAAACATTTTATCAGGTTTAACACAAATACAAAACAATGTATTTGTGTAGTCACTAACTTTTTATTACGGATAAAATCCCATTTCTTCCCCTTTCCTAATTTATCTTTGCCTGGAATTTACGATTGAAGGGACAGTGATTTTGCAAAATCCCTACGTCTGCACATATTTTGCCAGAAAACGGAAAGTATAGGCCGAAAGGTACTCAGTTGTGATATACCGACCCGATAGGCCGAAAGTGATACCGCCACATCACGATGTTCCGACCGTCATTTCTGCGTGTTTTGGATTAACGAGACATCCGGAAGGAAAGAATTGCCGTGACTTTTACGGCCATTTATCTTCATCAGCGTGGCATCGACTTTCGCCGTTAAATATCCTCCCCGTTCATTCTTCGCGCTTTTACGTGTGCTAGGAATTAGGTCGCAAAAACATTTCGCATGCGGATGAGTGAATTCCGAGATAGAGATATCCTCGAGGTAGAGATGTCTCGAGATAGCGGTATTCGCCGTCGCGTATTTAGCGTTAAACGCGACCATCTAATTTCCATCTCACGCTTACCCTGCGTGCGCTTCTCGCATTAGGCAAATGAGACATATAAGGGAAACATGTAAAACAGTGGCGGCGAATTTGCGGCATGCGACACTGAATCGAGATACCACGATTTTCCCATACAAAAATTATTTATGTTTGTACCTGTAAAATTTAAACATTTCTTAAAATAACAACATGAAATAAATATATTTATATTGAATAAAAATCAACCGATAAGACTAACCATATATGAATATATGCTATATCCGTTTAAGATGATTCTTTGTGTCTAATATTTCTTGTAAATTTATACAACTTTCAGTTTAAGCCGACTTTTTGCCTATCATTTGTCGGTCTTGGAAACACAGTCTTAAATCGAAACTGAAGTAATATCACAAATTAAATGACAAGCAATTTAATATTATTACTGCAAATAAGTATCTTAAAAAACTGTTAATGATTTAATGCTAATAAGAATCTTAGAAACTGTAAATAAAATAAACTGTAACGTGAATTGAATAAATTTATAAGAAATCAAATATGGCATTTTTCATTCATGAATGGAATATATTTATTTTATATTACCTTTACGCATTTTATAATATTAAAGAAAAACTTATAAATAAAAAATAAATTACAAAGAATGTGTTTTATTAATATCCATTTAAATTCTCGCATTAATATCCATTAAAGATTCTCATTTCACAACTTCCTCTTAAGTTAGCAAGACTTACGCTGGCTCATAGAGAGCAACGTAGCCGCATTTCGCGTTTAAACGTGCATTGAAAGTTCAGCGCCACTCAGGAATATATCTTTCAAAAGCTTGACCAAAGTTCCATGATCGAAAATCTTTCAAGACGTTAACGCGCGAGGGTATCGAGGATCACATAGAGCAATGGCGATGCTGAAAGGGCTCAGCGAGGCGAAGACGCGATTTCGCTGTGCCGCTCAAAAGATTTTCGTCAGCGTGTGCTAGTAATAGGCGTAGCGGCGAACTGAGGAGTTTAATTAATTAATCCGGAACTGTGCGACGAGCGTAAAGCGGCCACCCTTTGCTCACTTTGCGGTACAAGGTGGCGGAGTTCGCTGCCCGCGCTGCTGTTATAACACGCGAAACTTTCGAACGCGGGCATCGTCGTGGAAACTACGGCAAACATAATACAGTCGTTTATCCTTCGCACAGCTTCGGGGATCCGTAAGAGAAAAATAAAATTGTTCTCTGCTGAATGGAGTTGTTGAATTTTCACCTGTATACTCGCGGCAAAGATTCAGATTATTTCCCTTTGTAGAAGATTCAAACGGGAAGTGGTAGTTTAGTTTTATAGCGAAGATCTTATCAAATAATATACCGAGCAAATGAAATTTATGTAACTCAAACAATTTCGTGAATTTTATCCAATTGCGAATTAAATCTATGCTCAAATTTTGCTTCAGTAATTTTGAATGACGTTGACGAGAGACGGTTATAAAAATTGTACAGGAGCATCTTTTTCAACATCGTGTGATGGTATTTGTCAATGTCAAGTTGACTTTTTGAAAACTTTTCTGTAGAGGTTGAACCTTCAAAAACCGACTTTTCATGCGCGACAGCCCACTTTCATTAGATGCTCGTTACGTTTGCAGAAGAAACGAGAAGGGATTACGCGGAGAGTACCGTGAGTTTTTTTCAACAAAAATTTAGGTCGAGAAGAATATTTTGAATGACAGTTTTTCGGAAATAAGAGCGATACGAGATAGACTTTTATGTCATAAACCCTCGAGGCAGTCAACTAGTGTTTGCAATATTTTTGGGACGCGAGTATGTACGCTAGGAAAAGAAATTTAATACCTTCGATAAAATTCTTTAGTTGAGACATTTTTTAACAATAACCAAATAATTTTGTTTATATAATAAAAAGTTTAGTTGTTTTTGAAAATAATTTCTTTATCATGTAAATAATAAAAAATATTTATTTATAGCAAGTAAACAATTTAGTTTGCGTAAAATATTATAATTTTGTTCGATACATTTCAACTAAAAATTTGTATTCGATGTATTTCAACCAAATTTCTGTTGTTTCAGTGAAATTTTGGTTCATGGAACAAAACATTTTCCTAGTATATTTTACAGCTGTCGCGCGATCCGAAAGACAGGACGAGACAGAATGGAGAAATTCATCGATGAATTATCGCTTTATTAAACTTCAACAATATTTCTTGTTATATTGAAATTGGAATTTATACATCGAAAGATGAGAAAATTAATATCGATCAAGTAAGTTAATAAAAAGTTAATTCAAGTTTTTGCGAAGAAAACTTTAGCAGTAGTTAATCAAATAAAAACTTATCAAAGCTTGTTCAATTATATTTCTATCTTTATTGAAGGATATATTTTTTTAAATCAGTTCTCTCGCGAGTTGAAAAGTTGGAATAAAACTTGATTCATTGATTTTAATAAAAAGCGTTCGGAATGTAGTTTAGTTTTCGTCTCAATCGCAAGAAAATAACAAGTTCCGGAGTAACTATTGCGATCGAGTGTTGAAGATGACTGCTAACGCTCTTCTCTGAGATGTTACGCGGGGATATAATATAACATATCTGTTTCAAAGCATCTTTAACGACTATTATACTCAAAACTCCAATCTAACGTTCCACAATGGTTAATTTATTAATGCGCCATAGCAGCGACGAGCACATCTTGATGGAATCCTCTATTCTTGGTCGAAGTTCTTCGGATGGCATCCGCACCCCGAAGAACTTACCTTGCCGAGGGCGCATAAACTTCCGTGAGTCTAGCTATTTTAACGATGATAACGAGGAAAGTTTCAGGCATTCGAAGCGTTTCGGTTGTGCACCAAGCTGCTCGCAAGACGCGACGCGTTCGCAGTCGTATTCGAACCTGTTCCGCGCAATTCTGAGAATGAGTGAATTGAAAAGCAGTTTTAAACATATTTCCAACACGTTGATACTAGCTACTACCGCTTCGCGGATGTTAGCGCAGATCGCACGAACGATCTTCGAATCACTTGCTAAACACGCCTGAGACAGACATAAAAAGAAAATAAGCCGAATTACAGAAGGAAATACGAGAGTTTCTTTCGAATGTCGATACTTCACGAGTTATCACAGCCTTTCCATTCGTTAAAGTTTCATCAAATAAAACGAGGGAACATCGTCGTAATCAAGTCGATTCAAGATAACTGGGAAGTTTTATAAATCCGATTTTTTGTTATCTGTTAGTTGAAAAAAAATCTAATTTATCAAGTCCAAGAGAGAAATTCGATCGAGGTATATCTTTAAAAGCTTTTTAACTTTCTCGTGGAAAAATTCAAAAGTTGTTCCGATCATCCGCGTTTCGAGAGGGATGTCTCATCGATTTGTCTTACCTATCTGGCGCCGTTAAAGAAACACGATAGCTATTTGTATGTACTTGATGCGCGACTATAATAGAGTATAATAGAGACGAGAAAGGTAGGCTCAACTCACCTTTCTCCAGAGGAGCTCTCTTGTACTTCTCCAGCCTTTTGACTGCAATGGCTTCAAGGCGCACCCTCGCAGCCGGATATTCCTTGAGTACGTCCCACATGTCTTTCTTGCTGAGGACGAAGAGGTCCGAGTAGCCGACCGAGCGCACGCTGGCTGTTCGCCGGTTACCTGCGTCGATGTAGCCATTTATTGGTTATCGGGATGCATCAAGCTTTCTTATGTAACCGCACCGTGATCGATTTGTCGATCGTTCCGCCATTTTACCTACAGCAGACCCGCTCTCATTTCCTCAGCCCGGATGCACGTGATTCCGATTGCACGCTCGATATGTCCGCGCGCGCGTGCGAGCTATCTCTTTAAGATCCTTTTACATCGTTTTATACCCGTACAAAAGCACAGTAATTTTGATTAATCGGGTTCGTTACGGTTCAGTCTTCTATGTTAATTGATTGCCAGGTTGCTCAATTCGTTTTCCCGACTTTTTCAGAAAGACATTTAATCGTCCGATGTTTGTTGGCTGATAAATTGATGGATAATAGCGAATACGAATTAATTGTCCCACGGTTTTACCATATTTATCCGTTTCCGAGCGTGTTTTTTTTTTTTCGCTTCTTTTTCGCGGAATAGAATGTAGTTAACTTCCGGCAGAAAAAGAAAAACCCGCAAGACTAATGAAGTAGTTTGCCCAGAATGTGATAATGACGCAGCCGAGCCATTGTTTACAACTTTAATTGGTGTCAACGATATTTTATATACTGGCGTAAAAGGGCGCGTAATTAACAAGATAACGAAGAGCATAATTACTTCAGACTACAGACGTACGTGCAAGTCTGAAAAATAGCAATAACAGACGCTACCGAGCATGAACTTTATATTAAGGAAAGATTTAACCATCAGATAAATGTTATGTTCAGAAGTTTCGCTTCATTAGTATGCTACGAATATACTCGAACTGTAATACAAATTGTAATAATTAAGCTTAAGACGACGGGAAATTCTTCCAGCTATCTTCTTGATTGAAAATTATGCTTACACGTTGAGCATAATAATTGTGACATGCGGCATACGTCTCTCTGTCACGATGAGAATTGTAAATAGCCGGTCGCAATTCGCGTCATATATTATTCAGAAAGTTTTCGAACGCTGCCGTTCCCTCTGCTCCGTTTTTCGCTGGCTTTCAAATATCGTAATACGCGCGGAATCGTTAACCGTACATCGAAGAAATTTAGCGGATCGAAATTCCGCTTCCATATTCCTCAAGTATCTGAATTACTTATTTCAAACGGTCTTATCCGATAAATAGACTCCGACATGTTATGAAGGATACAAATTATCTAAGAGCATTTTATCTTTTCAGAATTCGCGAGATATTTCGGTAAAATAAAATTTTATTGTCCAAACATTGTGTATTTATTAGGTTACAATGTATTCATTAAGTGGCCAGTTTAACGAGATGCTCTAATTCACAGTTTATTTATTAAGTAGTGAGTTTAACGAGATGCTAATTTTGCGATTGTTATTCGATTACGGTACGATGATTAAATAATTTTATTGTACATTTTCGATGGAAAATTCTGCGATTAATTTCTCGAAAATACCGTGTATAAACAGACGATGTGCAAATTTTACCTTATTTCCTATTATTATATTGTACATAATTCTTAATTTTAATAAAAGTGTATCAATATACCTATGTTTTGCTGTAGTTTCTTTGGCAATGATTTTCTTTTATCGCTGTTTGTGTCAAATATTACTTGTCAGATACTACTTGCATAGCGTTAATATATTTGCAATGAACAATATATCAACACTTGATAGTGGATATATTTTTGAAGAAAGGTAGTCTATTTTGCTTTTCCCTCGATATTTTCTTCTTTATACTGGAATAGTGAAAGCAAGATATAACAAAATCGGCTAACTTTCTTCATGAATAAGTCAAAGCAACCAAGTTATATAACTTGATGTTTCAAAAGCTAAGATAAAGGAGACTAGAAACTACTGTAATCAATTTGTACATGTGTATATGTGTGTGTGTGTGTGTGTGTGTGTGTGTGTGTGTGTGTATGTGTGTAAATAGATATAATTATTGATAATAATTGGTAATAATAATTTGGCGGATCTGAATGCAGGCCAATACAACCGTACGAAATCAGCACGCATTACAGAAGTAAAAATTACAATTATCAATAAGAGCCTACGTTAGGGGAGTGATGGCGACAAATTGTGAGAAAGATATGTGAATGGTGCAATGAATAATAATATGATAATATATCACGTGAAAATGGAGATGCTCGTAGGAAGCATTTGTAAATGACGCTCGAGCGCAATGGTAATTCTCGCAGACAATCAAACCGTCTGCATTAAAGTCATAAATAATTGTGATCGATTTATATAAGCGAATAAATTGATCGCATTTACAAATGCCATCCCTCAATTGTAAATGTTATAATAGATAACAATTAATAGATATGCAAATGTTGTAAGAATAAGAAATGTACAGTCCCAGCGCAGCGTGGCGTTGCAGCACCGATTGTGAGATTCAAAGATGTGATGCTGAAAGGGGCGCGATTAAGGAACTGGATCCGAATCGATTCAGTTTTAAGCTATTTCTTCTAATAGAGCTACGAAAGCGAAATAGAAATTGTGAGCACGATTGACTAAAAATATGATTCATTAAAACCTTATCGACCGGTACGCCTTGCTGAGTCGCCGTCTGCTATTCCGTCTGCGATTGACACACTTATTATCTATTTTCGAATAAAAAAAAAATGAAGAATAATTTCGATACATTATTAAACGATGATTCGATCTGAATCTTATCTCTTTAGCCTCGTACTTCTTCACTTAGAAACGTGAGTGTCACTAAAAATTCACGATGAACCGCACGGACGCAAGTTAGGCGCCGTAAAAAAGAAGCTTTCAATCCTGATATTTTACGACGTACGTCATAATTCGGTCGGTCGTTCCGGTCGATCGTAAATAAAAAAAAATAAAATGGAGTACAGTAGCCGTGAGAAAGACTGAAGAAGAGTGGAGACTAAAGGGCAATACGTGTCACGGGCCTTATTCGAGATGCGTCGACGGTCTCGCAACGACGGACTCCGCCGCGTGTGTTCTTGCGGAATTCAATTAACTGTTACTGTTTACTGGATAAGCAGAGTATTATAAAAATTCTGACCCAATGCAAACACAATACAAAATTCAAATGTAAATGATACGTTTGCACGACTGAAAACGCCCGCGGAATCCACGGCAATACCCTGGCACGACTGGCACTCTGTTATCTACGAGTAACAGGATATGAAAAGCTTTTTACACTTTCACGAGAGACAATATTGCCCGGTTTTGTAGATACAATACGTAACAGAGTTACAGAAGACTTGTGTTTGCTAAAAACATGAGCCGGCATAGCCGCTGGCATAAATAAAGGAAAAATTTTTTATCAGCTATTTTATAAAAAATATAGAGTAATGAGTAAAAGATTAAATTCTATTAATTTAATAATGGCGAGGATCGAGGCTCTAAAAATACGAGAAGAAAATTGAATTCAATTTGACCCAGATTAAGATCACTTAGATCACTTTAGATGGGAGCCGAAACGCTGCTCTTATTAGCCCGAAGTTTCTTCACGGCAAATGCGAATGCAATGTTCGTCCGAGAAAAAGAGTTTTCTAAAAGAAATTTGATAGGAGAATAAAGTTCGTGCCGTCTCCGAGGCGACTCTTTATACGCGCTGACGTTGGATGGTTATTTTTTTTTGTCTCAATGAATCATTCGAGGAGAGTCGATCTTCGAAAATAAGAATGAGATCCGCCATCGATCCTGCGCGAATGGCTCTATACTCTATCCTGACAAGCGAAGGCAATAGAATTGTCGAGGTAGAGAAATTGGAGCGATATTTTGCATTGCCAATTCTTTTTTTCGCTCTCGAGCGGTAGCGAAGTCCTGGAAGACGCACGAGTGATTTCGCGATACTTTGGAAGTCGGATTTCGTCATATCACGTCCATTAAATTGTGCAAAAAAAATGTAAGCGACGAAAAAGAAATTTGTCCTCGTTAATTCTTTCGTCAATGTGCGCTCGACGAATGCAAATGACTATTTGAGTTTAATGTAGTTTGTTGCTGTTCAGTCATTTGATGTAGTACGCGCGTGTTATAAAATTAATCTACTGAAACTTATTATTGTCTAGAGTCTAGATTATTTATTAACTATTTGTTTATATATTTTTTCTACACAAATATTTTTTCTATTTCTTATACTAAATTCTTTGATTTGTTAAATTTCTTTTTATAAAAATATTCTTTCTATTTTTTATACTCTCTAAGTTTTTTTAATTTCCATTTCGGATTTAAAATGAAAACAATGCATTCTGTGGAAGAGACACGTAAAGCTTCTAATTCAACAGTCAAATTCTGCAGTAAATTTGTGGTGATTATACGTGCCATAAATTCTGCGATAAATCTAATAGGAAAGTATCCTATACAGCCGGCAAAATTATCCACGTAGGGTAGGATAATGCAACGTCAATCACAGTTAAATTAGATAAAGCTCGTCTTTCAGTGTTTGAGAGGATATAATATCACGACCGTGATAACAGAGACGGTAAAACTAGTTTAATTCTCTGTTTATTTATTTAATATTTGCGTAAATCTAAATTTATTTTAATTATTATTTAATTTTGTTCAAAATGCATTTGAAAATTATACTTAATTTTGAAAGCAACCGGAAATAAGCTTTTAATAATGCAATGTTTATCGCTAATATTTCTCTTGTATGTGGAACAGTTACTGAGAAATTTGAGATAAATATATTGTCGACATTTAATAACAAGATTACTACTGTTAATAACAAGAAGTATACCACTCTGAATTAAATAAATATTGTAATAATGAGAGGCGCACGTAAATATTATTATACAATTGAGGAAATATATAACGTGACATCGATAATAATACATCGATATGTAAATTAAATTTGAGAATGTATTCCATTTATTATAAAAAAATTTTTATTGAAATTGTAATCAGAAAAATATGTAATTTTTAGTAAATACAAATTTTGATACCTTTTTAAAATTTTCCTCGGCTTTTTTTAAAATACCATTCGTAACTATTTATCCAATATAAAAGAATAGTATTCAATATCAAAAGAAATATCAAAGGAATGATATTCATCGAAGCTAGCAGAGTGATAATTAATCCTATTAATTTCGTTTGGAGATTAGTAATCGATGTATGTATATAAATTCTGATCACCGCGCGGGCGTCGTTGCATGAACGTCGATCGCGATTAAAAAGGTGAAAATCGACAAGTGGGACAAGTCTGCGAGAAAAAGAGAGATAGTGAAAAATTGCTAGAGAGATCGTTTTTAGATCGGCTCATACCGGCTCGACGGCTTGCCCTCTCACAGAGTGGTAAGAACGTGAAACGTGAAAACGTGATCGTGAAAAACGAAGGGGGACAGCTCACGGGCCCCTGGTCCGTTTGGAATATTTACCGCACTCTTTACCTGCGGTCCCCATATTGAGAATGCTGATCTCCCCGAAGTAGGAACCCGCCTTAAGGGTGGCGAGCACCGTCTTCCCGTTGTCGGCTACCACCTGCAGTCGGCCCCTATTCACTATGTACATCTCCTTTCCCACCTCACCTGTAATCGCACAAAAGCGACACTTAAGTTAATTATTCCGTTAATCGTTTCTATCTTTGACTCTAATTTAATCAAGGCGTTTAAGTTTCTCGACGGCCTTGCAATCCCCCAATAATAAAGCTGATATAAAGAGATATTGGTACAAGTCATATTTTCTCTACTTCAAGAAATAAAAAGTTTTGTGAATGTACTTAACATAAATTTTAGCTCTTTTTATGTAGTCTCTCTTTATGAGTCTGTAAAAATAATAAGCTGTCGGTGTCATTGATTAAAGTAGTTGATATATTGTATTTTAAGACATATGACAAGTGCTGGTACCTTCTTTCTTTAATATAATATAATTTTCAATCCAATTTTTTTCTTCATCATTAATTATGACGTATTTTTCAATGTAAGAATAAAACGGAAAAAAAATAAGGATAAGAGTCGATAAATTTTAATAAACACATAAGTTGTTTTTTATCTCTTTCTAAAATATGAGTAGAAAAAAATACCAATTTATTGAAAGAACTGACCTTGAAATAATCACGTCAAAAATAAATTTGTAACTTTCCGCGCAAAACAAGATTTACCCCCATTGCCTGATGCTTTAGATTCCTTGATGATGAATACTCCGATAGAATAACGTTTAATAAATTATACGACAAAATCTTGCATAAAATTTGTAATTTGTAATTTTATACAAATATACATATTTACAGAAACTGAAGTAGAGACTCTGATCTTTTTTAAAATATTAATAATGGTAAGTATATCCAATTAATTTCAACATGATACTTTGGTAAAATACTAACCATATGGTGAATAATATTAATAGAAAATTAATTTTAAAATTTGAAAAAAAATTGTCCAATAAGGACAAATGTAATTGAGGAAATTACTTCAGTATTTTAGAAATATAATGGAAATCCGGAATGGAAAATCCTTATTTTTTTATAGAATGATTTTTCGCAATTTTTATGACGTTGCAATTTTTTATGATAGTAACAATAACTAATAAAAGCTAAGATTGGGAAGATTAGTTTTAAAAAGCAACTTGTCACTACGGATTATTTATTGAAACAAATAATTTACTATTTGTATTGTAACGCGTCGAATTGTTTTAATTGTTATTTTAATTCGTTATCAATAATAAAATTTATTTTTCAAACAATGCGTTATGATGATAAGATATTATTAAAAATAATTTTTTCCCAACACTTAATTTTTAATTAATCATAAAAAAATTGCACAGTCATTATCAAATCGTTATTATAAAAAGTAATAATAAAAGTAACGGCGTTACTTAATTTCCATCAGCGTAAAAAATATACATCCACATATATTTCATTCAAAAATAATGGTTATCACATAATTATGAATAATATAAATGTAATATCAAGTATAAATAAACATTTTACAACTTTTCAACTTTTTTCATATATGAATAAAGATCTATTAAGCACTTTAACATTAAAGATAATATTTTGGATCTTTATTTCCATAAAAATGTGGCAGACCAAATTTTGGATCTTCTTCTTCGAAGAGATATGAAAAACCATGATTTGGATCTTTCAATCCATGAAGATATGGATATAGCAGAATGTTTGTTACTTCCAAGCGAATCATCTCCAGTATCTTTTGATTTTGAATTTTGCGAAAAAATCTTCAATTATTATACACAAAAATAACTTACAATAGATTATGTGAGTTGCTCTTGTATTGTATTTTATTAATTATTGACAATACATGAACGCGCGAGTTGAATATTATAAAAGGTTTAACTTTTAGTTTAAGTCGATTTTGTGACTCATGTAAAATTACATAAGATACTATTATAATTCTTCTAGGTGTAATTTTGCAAATATTTTATATTAACAGATTATCTAAATTAGATATTAAATGATATTTATTCGACATGTGATATGAGATGATAGATATTAACTTAAGTATAATTTAAAAGAGAAAAATACAAAAACTTTGACTGACTGTGATTGGTTCACTGTGGATCGACAGTCAGAGTAGGCAGTTCAACAGGCTTGCAAAGTCAGTAGTCTGACACGAGCATTAGGAGAAATCTAAAATAAAGATCAAACTGCGAATACTTGTTTTACCGATTCATTAACACTTACACACATACGAATTACATGTCATCGACACTAGGTATATACTGCTAGGTATATATCAATATGTCACGCACGCATACACCAAATAATATAAACAATAAATTTTTGTGAAACGATATTGTATAGAATTAGATGTATAAATCTAATTCTAAGAATTCGATATTTTGGTATATTGTACTAGTACTTAATTTTCAACTTTCTTTCCATAAAGATGTGATAAAATATTAATCATTTTATAGCCAATCGTCATCTGCAGCATTCGACATTTGTTTTCTCCGAATCTTGCGACATAAATTTTGATCTTCTTACGCAGGAATAATTTATATTATGTTATGTAAACTGTTCATGTGTTCATGTATATTTTATTAATTACTGATATTATATATAAACAAGCTGAACATTATGAAATGTTTTTAGTTTAAATCTATTTTGTGACTCATGTAATGTTACACAAGATATTTTTATAATCCGTCTAAATAATTTTGCAAATATTTTGTATTAATAGTTAATAGTTTTTCTAAATTAGATATTACGCATTAGGTATTATTCGACGATTGATTGAACCACGCGATATTCCATTTCATGTTATTGGTAGGGTTTATAATAGCAATTTTGCTGATGTCTAACCATTTGCAAGCTATTGTCTATCGTATTTATGTTTATGTTAACTATAGTATATTGTATCATATTTTATGTCTATTATTCTGTTAACATGTAGTCTTTTTCATATAGCTTTGCAATAAACTAAATTAAATTAAATTAAATATTCATAAAACATATATATCAATTGCATTAACATTGTATATTTTGTTTAATGATTAAATGTAACTTTCATGATTTGTTGTCATTGCTAAAGATATAAATATTTGTTCTCCTTTGTGATTTTAGTTTAATATATTAAAAAATTTTATTCTGATAAAATTGTTGCGTTATGATGAATTATCTTAGAGTAATTATTGGAAAATTGTAAATTTGCGATACGCTACTATTGTGTAATGTTTTCATAATTTTTGCCTATCGGATAGAAGTTCCAAATGTATATTACATGTATGTATTATATATTGTGTGTGTGTGTGTGTGTGTATATATGTGTGTGTATATGTGTGTGTATGTATTTTATATGAATCACATAGAAACAAATTCAATCAAAATCCTTCTAAGAAATTTTTTGTAAAACTGGACAAAAGGGGAGCAGCCGCTGATGACTTTAACATATGATTTGACATATGTTGTCACAACCCTAAGTGACCTTGAACAAATTTTATCCGTCGATCGTTCTTCGTTAAAAAGTTATTAACAAAAAAAGTTCAAAAAATAAAGTCTCTTTTCTACTACACGAAACAAAAATTCTCTGCTTTAAAATATATTTTACGATTTTCCACGCGAAGCGACTCTTACAGAATTGTATAGTCTAAAGTGAAGACTGAGCTGTATGTATCCATTAAGTGATTTATCTATTAATTAAAATTCTTTATACATATCGAATTTATTTAATTATTTTTATATTTGCCATGCTTTAGGGATGCACGATTCTCACTTTCGACTTTCACCCGTTATATGAAAGTTAAAGGTGAGAGTTGTACGCCTCTATATCATAATTGACGAAGATTTCTATACAATTACTTTATTTACAAAATAAAATTTTACATTTATAAAATTATATTATAAAAATTGTCAGTAAAAATTACATTCTAGAAATTTCATTTTATACTAAATAACTGCATTTAACGTATAAAAAATTATACTTCCTCCTTTAGATAACTCCGAATTATCGTCTTTTTTAAAAAATATAAAATGTACTTTTTTCATATGATTCAGAGATGGTAACCCCCACTAAAAGATAGTATAAAAGAGCGCAACAGGATACGCCAAGAACGGCCGTCATTTGTCCGGCCAGTAGTAACGTTCAGCTATAATTCCGACCTTAATCGCACGATGCAACGACGGAAATGCGCGAAGAGGGCGGCCACCTATCAAAGGGGAGGTATGTATTACTCTTCGCATTCCTACGCGCACATGGCGGTTATTCCGTCGGTAGTGAAAAGAAACCCCGTCGAGAGAATAAAGTGAATGGAAGGCAAACGATCCGTGGGGAAGACAATTCGCTTTGGCAAGCTGAAGTTGCTCTTTTGACCGCTTATAGATTGAGAACAAATGCTAAATACATCGATAAAAACGACGGGCAATAGCGTAAGCTTTTATTTATACACAATCTACGTTACGAATATTCAGACAATTTCTGTAATGCGCCATAAATATTCAAAAAAAGATAGAAAAGTCATATTTTTCAGCGAATTCCGACTAGATTTCTCGATATTCAGAAGAATAACTGCTTCCTGAACGTAATTGACATTTAAACAATCGTAAACTTTGATCATTTCATATAAGACAAAATATGAATTAAAACAAAAACTTACGTTCCATAATATTTGAAGATTAAAATAAAATTAGGAATCCTCTTTATGACATAAAGGGGAAAACAAATGATCTTTTTTAACGATATTGAATTCTACTATCCATAAAAGAAATAGATTTGGAAACTGTGTGTTGAATGGCGATGTCAGTCGTTAGAATTTACAAGCCGTTTCTCTATGTAATTGGACTACGAAAGTAGTTACACAGATGAGAGAGAGAAAGAGGGGGGTTCGTGCTTTCTTCTATCGCGTTGATAACAAGCACGGCAGTCACTTTTTCCGTCGTAAAATAAAAATATTCGCCTACCAGCGACGGTCTCCGGTGACGGGGATGGCACGTAAAGGGAGAGAGAGAGCGCGAATAATCATTTTTCATATCCATGGTATATCGTTTGGCATGCTTCCAGCATTGCGTGCTTCCATAAGCAGGATATTCTCGAATCCGGGGAGAAATCATAAGGATAAGAAGAAGGTCGATGTCTAGGGTTCGTGTCCTCGAGAGACCGTAAATAGTGATGGAAATGAACAAAAGTCGACTGCTTACAATGGACATTTAGCCACATTTTTTATCTAAATTCTAATTTACGAGGAACAATTTTTTCCGCCGCTAAAGTGGCTTGCAAGGAAGATTTTGCATAGAACACACACATCTCAGTAAGCAAGAAACATTTTGGAATATTTCTGCAACACTGTAACAATATTACAGTGTAACGTTGTTACAATGTTGCTGAAATGTTCCAAAATGTTTCTTGCTTACTTGAACTCAGCCTGATGATTCCGAGTATCTTGTGTCGGAAGTAGCCGCTAGAAAAAACGATAACTAGGCAATTTACCTTTGCGGCAGATGTAGTCGCCAGGTGAGAAAAGAACGGGCCGTAATCGCAGCACCAGCTCGCACAGGAAGCCAGCCTCCGTGTTTTGGAAGATCTCGACCCTCCTCAGCGTGTCCAGGTGCACGTTTATCGCGATTTCTGCCTTTAGCTTATCTGCGAAAAAGAGAAAATGATTGCGGAGTGTAAAAAGAGGGAAAGAAACAGGGCAGGCCTTGTGTACAGTGGAGGAAATATTAGGAATAAATATTAAAATTTTAATCTATTAGAAATTATATATTCCTGTGTAATCAATTTCTGACAGGTTGAAATCTTAATATTTATTCTTGTTCCTAATATTTCTTCCATTGTGCGCAGTTCTCTAGAAATCAGAATGTAAAAAGAGGAACAGGGAAGGATCAGAATCTCTCCGAATTAATTCCGGAGAGAACAGTTCGTACTTTTGCCGCGCAGGACGTGCTGAAAACGCAATGTATACGGTCGAGACAGGCCGCTATAACGTGTAAAGGGTGTGTATCCATTTTTAATTAACTTGCAATTTCAAAAATTTACACGATGCACGCTTTTCAACCTCGTTTTCCTTCCGTTATTTTATATACTCTTCTCTCTCTTGATATTTAAAATTTCGCAACGCACGCGGTTAAATTTTTGTGCGCAACAATTCACATCGTCACACAGCGGAAGTCATTGTGCTCCAGAGGAGCATGTTTCTGTTGCATTGCATTGCACAACAACTTCATCCGAAACTTCAAAGAGTAAAACCATTCTGAGAAGAAAAGTTGTTTTTATCAAAGCTCATCTCATTAGCGTGAGAGACACTTTGCATTCTTATTTGCAGAAAGTGAAAAAAATTCCTATTACAATTAATAAGTGAAATAAAAATAGTCTACTGAAGTTCTTTTATAAATCGATACCTATGCACGTGATATATTCTTTATAAATTAATATTATTTCTTAATATTATCTCGAATGTAAAATTATTAATATTTTTGTACAAACTCAATAATAAATTAGAACAGTTTCCATTACAAAAAATGTTTCCAATTTCAATATCCGTTCTTTTCGGAATATGTCTAAAAAAATTTATTATTATAAATCTCTTATTATAATTATTAATTTATTTGCTGTTTAAATTATATTACTTTTGTAATTAAATAATAGTAATTCGGCTTTGCAACAGTCTTGCATTTCTATGCAATCACTTTCTTGGCGGAAATATCAATATTATACATATAATAATTAATATTAATACTAATATTAATAAGCAAATATACTTCATTAAATGCCTATTGTAATATATATTAGGTTATGTAAATAATTAATAATTCTTGCGCAAACTAATGGCAGTTTCGTAAAATAAAAATTTATTGACTCGGTATTATTTCCCACATGAATCCTTGATTACAAGGATAAAGTTTAATATATTATTACTATTGTTGTTAAGATAATTATAACCAAACGCACCAGAAATTGGTAGTTAACCCAGAAGCATGTCGACCGTATAAGTACACTACGATGTTACTATTGTTATATTATTATTGCGATGAAACTGTAATTAGTACTAAGTTCCGCAAATTAGCGTTAATTATGATTATGCAAGCTGTAACAAGTATCGGTAGCGCGTTAGTATTTTTCGCTTTTTACGTCAATTTTGTCGCCGATCGATGTGTCTCTTTCCGATAATATTAACGCGTAATGCAGCCTAATTGCTGTCTCTGTATCAATATAATCTGATTATTATTGCCGCGCAAAAATGTCCCTCCCGATTGTTTTATTACGCGTGTGAACAGTATAGGTTATTTCATTATTTTATTATTTCATTAGAAGAAAAATCTTTCAGGCAACGTGCATTTCATAACTCGACGAAATAAGCTTTAAAAAGAGATTAAAAATGATAAGATTTGATATTTCGCTCATTTTATGTCGAGAGCCTCTCAAAGAAGTAATTTGAAATTTAAAAAGTATTTAATTTAATAAAATCCAAAATAATTATTTGCCATAGAAAATGTTAATATTATATAAAGATTTGATTTCGTTTTAATTTCGTCGAAGTAAACTTTAAAATAAAATGGTAAGATTTAATATTTCACTTTACAGAAGGATCTCTTAAAATTGTAATTTGATATTTAAATATTTAATAATAAAACGTTTTTTAAATCTAAATTCGCGCCAGGAAATGTCAATATTATACGAAGACATTCCAGTTAATATCTCCGATATTATTTCTGGAACTTTATTGCTCGCGTTATAGCCGATTAAATGACATATATGTGTATGAAAATCTTCGCATTTTAATGGGACATACAATTTTTACCTACAATTTTTCATTTTGCATTAATATTCAATTTTCAACTCCTTGTTATGTCGTGCATTACACTTGGAGCTTTACAACTCGCGCCTTATAGCGGGTTTATTGCATGAGAAATGCTCGCCATTCGAACGAAACGATTTTCAGGATGTTGTCCGGACATTCCCTGCTCTTACTCTCGTGGAAACTCATTTGAAAAGCGCATTCCGCTTTGCGGTAATAATAATGTTGCTCCTTGGCCATTTATTCCCTCTTTAACATTCTGCGTTCGTACACTATATTATGTTAACTACGTCTAAATTTCGATTCTTCCTCTTTTAAATAAGGGGGACAAATATGAGTTGGAAAACGAATTATTACAATGGTTGAATGAAAAAAAAAGAAGTATAAAATAAATTCTTCTTAGTTTGAGAAACAAAGGGACTCGTGGAAGAGTGGTGAATGTAAAAGTCAGCTGCTTTATTATGAAGTTCTTTTTCTGTAGTTATAAGCAGAGTGATTATAAAGAAGTCCCTTAAGAAGCGCAAAGAAAACAATTGTAAATTTTACATAACACTATAAAAGAACGCATACTCTACGAGGGAATATAAAAAAAATTGCTCGATATTTTCCCGAACGCGAAATAAAACATTTTTCGACAATATATTTCAAGAGAAAAAACTGACAATTTTCTTCTTAGTGGAAGCTTGACTCTGCGTTAAGCACTCTTGTATATATCTCGTGCAATAAATTTCAGCGTAAGTCCTTCCTATGTTACCCAGCGCAGCCCATGAGTCCCCATTTCTTCCAGTTTATTTGCTTCTATACACACTGCGTTTTATATTGCATATAGTCTCTTTTATAGTGCGTCGCGAACGATAGAATCATTATTACGCTGCTTTACTAGCATTTTAGTGGGGAATTCACCCAGCAGAAATATCGTTTCATTCCAATAATCGGCTCGGAGTCGTCTTTAACAATCAGTTCAGAAACACATTTTCTACATTTACGCATTCTTTTATACTTTACGCAATAAGCAATAAAAAAAACATTATTGAGTTTATGAAGGAAAAAACACTTGTGTATCAAGTATCAATATAATCACATTACAATATACATTACGATAAATTAGAAAAAGATGATTATAGGTAACAAATAAATTTATATGTTAAACATAGGCATTTAATGTCGTGCTATTGCAATAGTAATATACTCATTCCTAATAGGACATCAATTTGTTTTCCTATTTATTAAGCTATTTCTACTGACGCAAATTGTTTAGTACATCACAAAGAAAGAGATTTAATGAGTATGAGGAGGCGAAATAAATTATAATTTTTGGATAAGTCGAGAATTTTTAGTCTGCACTTTTATCTCATCTCTTTGCGAGGGACACCCCAGCGAAAATTCGCCCACGACCGTTTACTCTCGTACGATTTGCATTAAGGGGCGACGTCGGCAACCGTACATGCAGCCTGCTTACGCGTCGCTTTACTCGCATTTTAGTTTGCGTATCCTACCAACGCGGTTATGAGATCAAATGTTTCCCGTGAAATTATATACGCTAACACCGGCAAAAGGCGGCGATATCGTTTCATTGCTCGTAAACACCACCTCCGCAATAACTTGCACTCGCTGTTATTTGACTAATAAATTGCAGTTAAAAATGAAAAGCTTTACTTAGAATTTGCGATGGACGAAGTTACATTAATTACACGTGTATTAAATTACACGTTCGCGAAATAGCTTCGTCTAACCGCCCCCTGCATAGATTCAGCGGACTTATATAAATATCATAAAGTTACGACCACGACGTAACGCCGGATTTTCATATATCTCACGTTTATGAAAGTAAATATATGCGTCTGCATCTCTTCTATATTGCGCATTAATAAGGAGAACTACGGGGTGATGGAGGGAAGGGAGAAGATAAATGATTCATATAAAAATAACTAATTACGTCTGCGTTAATTACATTTTTCTGCTTCCATAAATTATTTTTGCTTAAAATAATGCACAAGCATGTTTTCCATAAAAAAAAAGAAGCTTCAAATTCGCGATAAATAATATTCGACTCAAATATATCTGCTCAATTTTTTTAATCTTCATTGTAGTTTCTAATTCTAAAAACTTAAACAATTAAATCGTTCATTCGTGTTAGGTTTTGATATTTAATATAAGTAAGCAAAACTTACCTGGAAGACAACTCACTGCTTTCTCTTCGTCGGAGCACTTTTGCGTCAGCCACAAGTAGTCGAACCACTTGATAACTTTAACTTGCAAATGATTCGGTACTCTCCTCATCCGCATGTAAGTCTTCACGCCGTCCAACTTTGCTGCAACAATCAATTTTTATTATTAGTAGAATATACATTTTCAAATGACAATAAAATAACAATTGTTTACAGATTGCCGCGACGATTCTAATTGTTCTAATTCCATTTCTTAATGTTGCTACATTAACATGCAACATCTGACACACATTCGCTTACGCTGCAAATGTGATATTAATTATCCTAGCTAATTATGTATATATGATACCGTTTCCGGTAATATATAACGTTTCCGATTCAAGTTAATTATCATTTAAGCATTGAAAATCTCGTGTGAAACCGGCGTCCTATTTGTTAATTCGAGAATGTGATAATACGTCATTATACAAATGAAATGTTCGATGATTATTAATCGTCGTGGTCAATATTGGCGATTAAAGTTGATAAAATTATATATAGCTCTCGCGTGAGTGCGCAAACTGAATGATTCAATGAATAAATGCGTTATGAATGTAGGATTTGACCAGTCAAAGAATTAAAGTTTTTACGATTGGTTTACGATTTGGAATCGTAATAAAATCAGTTCATTATCGATTATTATCGAGATACACTTTCCATTCGCTCTGAAAAATCTTTTCATTATTTCTACGTTATTAAATCAATTATACTAATTGTTATTATAAATTGACAATATGTATATCGATATAAGTTAATAGAGAAAGTTTTCTCTGGCGTACTTATATTTCTCGCAGGCAATTTTTGAAGGCAAAGACCGTATTGCCGCAGTTATCAGTTAATTGAAACGAATGAAGACAAAAAGAATTCTCTCTCGCGCGATTCCCATTCTTTCTCATCTCTCCGATGAGAAAAGCATCGATGGGATTGGTTAATATAACGATATTGTGGCATATCCGTCGTGCAATCGCTGCATAGGTCGCAGATCAATAGTAGTGCAGCGAAATGGAAAACTAAGATATGGCTACAATTTTACGGGGATCCATCTCGGTGCTATGTATTCACACGAGCGTGACATTCAATTGCTGAGGTAGAATTGAAAATATCTCATCAGAATATCGCTGAATATTAACAGGTAAAAGATATAATGTCCGAGATATTGGAAGAGATGTAGATTTCTTAGATTCCTGAGATTTTTCCCTTAAAAGAGATTTAAATCTTTCACTATTAGATGAGTCAATTCAATCCAGAATATGATATCTCAACAAATATATTAAAAAAATTAATCTATTAACAGTATTATTCTAATAAAAAATCTTATTAATCTTATTAATTCACACACACGCACACATAACACTATCAAACACTTTTAATGAATTAAATATGTCACATGGTTTTTATAAAATTTTAATAAAATGTTATTTTAATATTGTTACTCTGATGAATTAACAAGATTGTTTTTAATTAGACTAATGCTGTTAATATATCATTTTTCCCTTCTATACATTTATTTTAATTAGAATTATTAGCAACATCATTTTTGGAATTTTAATTATTGCCTCTCGTGCGTACAAACATTTGTGCTGAATATATATAATAATAAGTAAAATAAGAAATTTGCGAGGAATTGAATATGGCTCATACGTGCCAAGCTGTTTTAATGACAGAATGTAATTTTGCAAGTACTTCTATTCATACTTGCACTTAAAGAAACGTGAAGCGTGCACGTAGCAGTTTCAGCTAAACTTCTTAATAGCATTGAGTAAATGTTTCGACGATTTTGCTATGCAAAGCAAAATATATTCGTGTCGAGTCATGTGAAAACTCAGTATAAGTTTGTAACGCCGATGTAATACGAATATTTGAAAGTATGTAAAAGTAAAAATGTAGGGGAATTATGCTCAGATTTCAACGCAGATTCGTCTCGCGTCGCAGAGAGAAGACATTATTACTAGATTCATGTCGCTCGTGTCCGTTACGTTCGGAGAATCTATAAATACGGATTATGAGGAATGAAGAATGCGTATCAAGAAATGAAACGTCAAACTGTCTCCGAATGCCAATTGCTATCCAAGATATTCAATCGATATTCAATCGAGAAGGCAAGGAGCAATGGGACCAATGAAGAGGATAACGTATTTCTTTGTTAGATTACCTATCGAGCCATTGTGCCGATGAATATATTGAAAACGCACATCTTCTTACATCAATCATATTTTAAAGAGTTCTATTTGAAAAAATTAATCTCTTATGCAGTTTGTCGATCGGAATATTAATTAATGTTATTTTTAAGCTGTATAGCCTTTACGCACGTTTATATTTTAAACATCAAAAATAAAAATTCCATTATTTGATTATAGGTCCCACTTTGCATTAAATTAAATAATCTTTACATAAAATTAGATATCACGTGGATTTTATAAGGTGCACAATTTTCCGCTTTTCCTGAGACTCTCACGTTTTCGCTGCACTTTTTTTCTATTTATTATTTTGGATGCTCAAATGTTAATGCATAATGCGGCTCGAGAGTCCGCAGTGCGGAGTTCACTGCAGCGATCTAATTTTGTCGTATGGATACCGAGCAACGGGATAGTCGTCGTTTCGGGGTTCCATCGCCGATCTATCCCGATATATCCAGGAATGATCAATTCTGCAGATACTTCTCGGACTCGATCCAGGCAGGATTCCCCCCCGCGAGCGGATCGACAAGAGCAATCCGGAATTGGCCGAAAATGGGTATAACGGGGACGCCGCCGGCCTGGCTTCGCCTCGTCTGACTGACAAGGAAGAGGGGTGGTTTCTATCGGAAATGGGCTTCCGACCGACCGACAGCCATGCCCATTTCGCCGGCGCAATTTAACTTACTCCCCCGCTTTTCGCGCTTCTATCGCGCGGCCTCACATCTCGTCGCCAGGTTGGCGATTCGAAGGAACGGGCATAGATATTGATAATATACAGCAGAACGGCCCGATTCGGCCGACGCAGCGCGATCAAAGGAAGTGAGAAGATCCTTGGCCACGATCCAGCCGGCACCGTTCACCCACTGCATCTCTGATCATTTTTCCAACGGGTTCATCGAACCGCTTTTGAATACGGACGTCGAGTTCGCAAGAAGTACCGATGAAAATGCAAAGCTACGCTCGGAAGGACGATGTCTTTCTTGGAATACTTTTGCGCATACACGAGGTTGTCGAGATATACAGGGTGATAGTCAAATACTTTAGAATTTTAGGGGATGATTCCCCATATTAATTTAAGACAAAAACTTCATATGATCATGTATCTAATTTTCAAAGATATAGGATGTGAAAATTAAAGGAAAAATTTTTTGTTTCTTCCAAAAATTTCGGAAACCACTCGAGCTCGATGGAACATATAAAAAGTTAAAATAATTCCATTGGTTTTTGACATTTATTTTGGACATGTATGATTGTATAAAGTTTTCGTCTAGATTTAGTATTTGATATTTCTACACACAACATATACACAACACACACACACACACACACACACAAAATTAGTAGAACCATCTCTTAAAATCTTCTAGAATACTTAACTACCACCCTATATATTTCCTCTATAACAAGCTTTCAAACTCGTACAATGTCGGTGGGTTCACTTCTTGATGTTACAAGTGCAGAGAAATATAATTCACACTATTATCCTTTTTTTTTTAGCTACGTGAAAAAATATATAGAAATTATTTATAACATTAAAATTGAAAAGATTTGAACATCATTAATTCTTCGATAAATTTTATCGAGGTGTCCTTTTCGTAATATATTATTTTTAGATTTATTCACGTATCATTTATGGAAAAATTTGTCCAAATGTATTTTAAATATAATTATTACAATATAATATTCTCTTTTCTAGAATTATTATATTATAATATAATAAAATAAGTATATAATATTATATTAATATTGTATTGTAATGTAATAGTTTATAATATCAATTTCTAGTCACTAAGTATTTATTAAAGCGAAATGTCTAACGCTTTAATACTCAGGCTCTGGAATGTTCGTATTCCCTCTTAGTCTCGAAGAAATAAAGAGACGATGTTAAGTACGAAAGTGAGAGACGCACGTGCGTCAATGCAAGAACGAACGTAAAACTCTACTGCACTACCGTTGGTTAACGACGGAACTTTTGGATGTTTTAAGGGTTAATGGAGGATATTCGCGGCCTGGTGCTAGTACCGAGATCAAAGTGAGATAATTTCTGGCTCGTTTCCAACTCCAACTTGATAAAAGCTAAGTCACGTTTATTTCGCGCCAAAGAGACTCGATTCTACAACGACAAATAGTAGGATGTACCTCGAGAATGATCGTACTACTGAAAAAGAATTTAAGTGGATTCTATTATCTCTTCATAGACATCGTAAAAGTTTCGTGGCACTTTATCATCCTGCGAACGGGAGATCAAACTTTGAAGCTTCGGGAAAAGTTAATTTTCAATTTGCCGAGAAATCGACATGTTAAAATATTAAACAGCGAGACATCTATTGACGGTTTAGCTCCGTGAGAATGTGAGTATATAAACGACGTGAGCAATTCGTCTTCTTCCTCTCAAAAAATTTGTGATGGCTTGGCTTGAAAAATCACTGTTTTCTCTTTCGGACGGTTCTGGTCGTCAGCTTCGATCCCTAAACGACACGCCGACATTGTCTGTCCGAAGGCGCAACCTGAAACTGACAGTCGCAGACGAGGCTCCTCGAAGATCGATGGATCCTCGAGACGCGGTCTTAACGACCTTGTTCCATGTTACCGATAGCTTCTACCGGAACGTCGTTACTTTCCTTTCAGTCCACTCGATCAAGGCACTCCCCCTAATGAACGGTGTCTGTAAATAGTTTGCACGTAATAAAAGTAAAGACACTGTCCACGCTGTTCTTATAAATCATTGCCAGCGACGGAAAAATGTGGCCGTTATTCCTACGGTTATCTCTGCAGAACGAAAATTCCATTCGGTGTCTGTGTATTTTGTCACGATACTATTTTTGAATCCCTCTCTTTTTTCCCCCCATTCACCATATCATCCAGTACCGCACCTTTTTGTTCAAAAATACGACCGTTACGCGGATTTTGTTGAAGTTTGCGTACGATCGAGTAAAAAAAAGGGAAGTGAAAAAGAGAGAAAAAAAAAAGAAAAAAATATCCTTGTCGAGGCTCGTTTATTTCGAAGGTTTAATAAGGCACACTCGCTAAATATTCGAAACGAGAACAATGCACTATTACATTCATCGAAGTAGTAGTTGGTTTGTGAACCGTTGTGTTGATTTTGAAATCCCGCTGTGCCGGCAGGCATCGCGAATCCTCCTCCTCCCGCGATGGATTAATTTTCACGAAAGTCTCTCGAGCCAATTAATCGGGAAACGCAGCCTCGTTAATTATCTGGAATTCTGAACAAGCATGCGTCATGCTAACCGCGCGTTACCCTATTAACAAACTCGCTCCTCATTGTTATCGTGAAACACGATTCCGCAGCTTGATTTGATAGGTTACATTGTCGCGTTTTCGAATTTGAATGATTCTTTCGCGGTTTTCGGTTTTCGCGGATTTCTCGCGGGTTTATCCTACATACGTTTTGTCCACCGTTTTGAACTTATCCATGTGGATTGCCAAAAATTCTATCGGGATGGAATGTACGCGCATTTTTCAAGAAAAGAACATATTTCACGTGTTTCTGACTCGTAATGGCGAAGACTTAGATTAATATTCTGTCAGTTCTTATTTTTAATATGATTTTAAGTACAGTCACAAGCTAATTACACAATAAATATCTTAGTTAATATCTTAAGATATTTTAAGACTTAAAATATATGAAATTAAAAGTAAATCTACAATCACATCTACAATACGATCTTAAAGTGTAAAACTCAAGCTTCAAGCTTGAGTAAGAAACTGACTAATCACAGTCAAATGTGAGGAGAATAATCGATTCTTATGCTTTAAGGCTTAAATTTTACTTTAAAATCTTATTGGCGTCGTTTTAGGGATATAATACAAAATAATAGTATAAGTACAGCATAGTATAATATACAGTGTAAAAGTACAGGCAACATATCTTTGTTCTCTAAATTCTTTGGAGTGAAATCTTACTCTAAAGAATGAAAGTTGAGTCAGACTTGAAAAAGAGTGGCTTACTTTTCAATCTTGAAGAGTGAGCTTTCACTCTTTACAAAGTGAGATTCATTTTAAAAGTTTACAGAATGTAGAATTAGTCGGATGACCAACTAGGCCCCAAATTATATATAAGCTGCTATTAGAAATTTGTACCAATAAAAAATTAGGCCCCAAATTATATTTAGCCGCCATTACGCGCAATGTTAGGGTGGAGGCACAGAGTTAATACATAGCGCATAACAAATGCATAATGCATGAGAAAAATGAACCAATCAAAGTCCTTTATTTTCTTTCCTTTCCATGAAATAAAGGATTCTGATTGAGTTTGAGTTTCTTATGTATTATGCGTTATGCAAAGATCTGTGCTCCGGTTTTTATACTTAGTATTCTTACGTTATGGCATAATATAAGATTATCTGGACCAGTGAGCATTCAGCAAAGTCTCCATATTAATCTATGTAACATGCTCATTGATCCAGACGTCTTATGCTGTAGCTATACTTATATAGCTATACTTTGTGTGCTACAGTCTTTGCAATTAGCGTGGAGTAAGTGATTTTCATTCGAGAGAGCGCGAAAAGTTTGTGCATATTTTTCCTCCAGTAAGAGGCACACGCCTGACGTTCGTTATTTAGCCGAATCCATTGAATAGAATTAAAGGAATTATCCCTTTGTGCAAACTTAATTCCTTTCCTTTCCTGCGTCTGATCATATATGCATACGCAAATAATTCCCTCACCATCCTTCTCGACAGCATAGTCGTATTACATGATGCTTAATCCAAACCGGTAGCTACTATTTATTCGGATCTCTCGACAGTTGCGCAATTTCAAGTTTCGCAGGAAACTTTCAGTAATTTGAGCTATAGGGTACAATGTCCCTTATTAATCAGGTAACATTGAAACGTGTTCTATAACATGGAAATTAATATCTAAATTACTTTGTCGCGCCAGGAGCGAACTAGCGCCGTGTTCCTTTCGCTCCCTTCTGTCGCAAGTGCATTATTCTCCTTGTTTGCAACGCGATTATTCGTGTCAAGGAGGAGTCACCGGCAGCAACGATACACGTGTTTATCGCGGAACTGGCATTGTCAAGCAGCGATAGCAGACTTCACGCCGTGAGCTTCCCGAGTTCAATTCTATACAGACTGCGTATATATCTCTATTGCGAGAGAACTGAGTTTTTCAAGGCGTGCTTTTATCTACTTCTATGGAAAAAGCCCTCGTAAATATCTGAAGACCACAGTGATTTTTCACCAATAACTCGCTCCATTACGCGAATGTCGCAGACAGTCTCAACAAAGCTCAATTTCTCTCCCTTTCTCTCGTTTTCTTTCTGCTTCCCTCTGCCTCCTGCAGCAGCAACAGCAGCATTGGGCCGAAAGTGAATTTTCAACGCAACGGATCGATGAGACCGAATCAACAGCTTTTCCGCGTTTCCGCAAACGCAAATAGAATTGATACAGCCACAGCACCTCGGTGTCGTGGCACCGTTATATTTCGCCTGGAAACGGCTTTCGATTCCGCCTTCTCTTCTTCGTCACACGAAGCCACCCCTGTTATTCCCAAGCGTATAATACTAGAAGGCTTTATTTATGAACACAACGAATTGAGTGGACGTGGGGTGAACGTTTGGGGATTCACGAAACGTTCGTTTCGTATCCCGCTTTATCCGCTTGTGCTTTGACGTTCGTTTACGGCCGCTCTCTCGGCTATGTACAAACGGTACGGTGTAGGACAGGCTCGTCTAGGGAGGGTAAAGCCCAAAGAAAATAGGAGAACTGAAGGATAAAAGATATTGGATCCCGCGGCATTCTATCCATTTGATGTGCGCACGTTCTCGCAGTGACATTCTCACATTCAGGAAATGTGACAGTCAAAACCAAGGGAAATATGGAAAGGGAGAGTGAGAGATGGAAGCAGCATCGGGACGACTCGAAATCGTTGCACGAAATTGTATTGGCGATACGGTATGCATCACTAAACCATTGCGTCGTGTCGTTTGCTATCAACCTATTTCCGAGAAGCACATCTACAGCAAAGGCAACTTCGTAATCGAATCCCTCGTCGTTGCGAGCCCGAATTAATGATTGTAGAACTCGAAGGGATTTTGTTTGACGAACCGCATTGGTACAACTAGTAATCTCGATTTTACATCCAAAATCTCAAACATGTTTCTTCACTATTTGCGTATCACGTACACTATTAAATTCATAGTGTCAAATTATATTCATAATGTCAATTATATATAATGTCTAATTATATAATTTGAATCATTTGCATTCTGTATTTTAAACAGGATGCTTCAGAATTTAGGTGTAGCTTTTATAGCTATAATTAAGCGTCCTATATATTTAGTTTAACAATCAAATAGAATTATTTTCAGATCTATATTTAATTAAAATTTTAGTTTTATCAGTAAAACTATCTTTTCTGTAGAGCAAAATGATTTAAGTTTAAGAAAATAAATTCATATGTTCATATATAAGTAACAGTTATTCATTTAAAGAAAAATATAGATTTGATGAATAGATTCTAAGAAAATAGTTCGTATCGTATTTCAATTTACTCTTATTTCAGTTTTCTCTTATTTTCTATCGCTTTCTTTTTATGATCAAACATTACTATACGTGTAATAAAATAATCTCGACACCCATGTGCAAATAGTCGAAACAATTATTTGGTCGTTCGGTTTGTCTAAACGGTTCTAACAATCTATGTAACTATACCGCACCAATTAGCCGTGGTCAAGCTAACGAACCAGTCATCGTGTAATTCGTTTGCCTCGTGGCGGGCGAACTACATCATGTGGTGTTAGGTTGCTTTCAATCTAAAACTATGTCGTATCTTCGATGATACAATCATCGGTTTCTTCAGAATTCTCGTAATTTTAGTTTGCATCTATCAAGTGCCTTTATATTTCTTTTTACTTATGAATTCTTTAAAATTCGAAAATTCTTCGTTTTAATTATCGTTTTCATCTATCAAGTGCCTCTATAATTTTTCACTTACAAATTCTTTTTAGCAAATCTTAGATCAATATTTATTTTAAAAAAATATCGGGAAAAAGTCAACAGTTCTGAAGTTCCTAAATGAACAAAGCTTTAAAAATTTTTAATAATAACATAATATTTTTTTAGAATAAAATAATAATAAAATATTTTTAAAGATAAATTATTAAAAATTTTATTTCTCATATAACTTTAACCTTTTTTATCTTTAAAATTTTAATTTTAGATTTCATTTTAGATATAAAGCTGAGTGTTAAAAAATTAAGGAAATATTTCTCTCCAATAGAAATTAGCGCTCGTTCATTCGCGTTTATTATCATCGCGCTGAAAATTATTCGTACGCGCGGTAGGAACTTCGTCGCAGTAGTTAAGAACAGTCAGACGCGCGGCAACGTTAGATATGGGAATAATCCGCAATGAAATCGGCAGTCGTGAATTTTCGACACAGTCGATTGGACACGGGATACTGATAAGAGCTATAGCTTAGACGCTTAGAGGATCTGCATCGACAGATCGGACTGGAATAGTGCGATCTACTAGAACAAAATTTAATCCTGCTAAACCGGTATGCTCCTGGCGTGAGTACATGCATATGTAATTAGGCATTAAAGCAATTGGCATCAAGGTATACTGACTACGGTGCCGGAAGGGCCTTTGCTTCCTCTAGTGTTAGCTGATAGCGATGCCAATAGACTGAATACGATTGCTCCAGAAAGCCGCTATTGCAGTTCCTTGGCTATCTTAACGTGTAACGTGCTAATTCCGTCAACTATCTATCCATTACGGCTGTTAATCGGAAAGAGACTTCAGAACGAATAATAACGATATGTAAAAGGTAGCTTAGTTTATTCCACAACTTTAAATAAACTAATTTCGGCAAACGCTCAAGAACTTATACCCATATATTACAGTATTTCCTACTTTAAGAGGATTTAGAGAATAATAAACTTGAGGGAATAATTGTCGAATGTGACCTACTTAACTAAACCGTAAAGTAAAGCTATACAAGCGTACCAGAAAAATTTGATCTGTTTTCCGCATGAAATGTTTTTCCAAGTATATCGCAAAAAAGACAGATATATCTTCCGATAATTCCTCGAGTTGCAGACGCTGAAAGAATGAAAAATGATATCCGGTGCAATCTACCTTGCAAATCGTTGTATCACGCGTTATTACATCTCGTTCCTGTTCGTCTATTAGTCTTAATAGAATTTTCGTGATCTTGTTAACTATCATACTCCAACGTGTTATCGAAAACGCTGGATTTCGCATGCGTATAAATCTCCTTTTGCGAGGATTTCTCGCGGGACGAACGGGAATTCTTTTTCCGTTAGACGAGAGTTACGTGCCTCCATGTGAGATAATCTACCGCTGGTACGTAGGGATCGAGTCGTGTTGTACCTTAATCCATTTCTTTCAGTGCGACTGAATGGATTTGAATTTTCAATTCAGTCTTATCGGTGGTGCACGGTGAATTTTACCCGCGTTTTTCTTTCTTCAGATTCATGCTCTCACTCTCGCTCGTTTAACTTCTCTACGCGCAAGTCCGAAATTTTCACTCTCTAATCTCGAACACACATTTGAAACAACTTCTCTTCGCGCAATTATAATCAACGTCAAAATTATCCGGATATAATTCAACACATTTGTGTGTTTTACAAGTAAATACAATATTACAAGCAAGCATCTTAGACATTCGAAAGTATTGCAGTAGGTCGTTGCTTCCCAAGGAACACACCAAGTAAAAGAAAGTAAAAATGATTTTATTTTGACATCATGAAAGTGAAAAATAATGATTTTTTTATTATAAAATTCAACTGTTTATTAACGTTAAGAATCAAAATAAAATCATTTTGATTTTTTGTTTACTTTTTGCATTCCTTTATACACTTAGAATCTTTCTTTTCAACGCTCGAATATATATTTATCTCATTTAAAATTTTTGGAAATTTCAAGCAACGCAAACTTACCATATTTAATTTTTCTTTTGTTAAACGACCAGTAATTTGTTCGGAATTTTTCTTAGCACAGTTTTTTTTCTTGTTTTTAAAGCTAACATTCTCCTGCAATGAAAGAACCGTGAAAGAGGGACTCTCGGAGATATGTGCTTGCTTTTTGCCTACGGAATGGCGGAGATGAAAAGCCTTTGATTATCGAGTAGAACAAAAGCAATGATGCACGCTGACTGAATATCGGCCCGAGAGTTTATTTAACAGATTGTAAAGAAATCTGTTTGATTGCGAATTTAATAGCCATTAGATCCTCATCATTTTCCGAGAAACGTTTTTTTTTTATTTGTTTTTAAGTTTTTATTCCTATTTTCTTTCCTATTTCTGGAATTTCCTCCTGCTATTGAAATTGTACGGTCTATTTTTCTTAAGCGAAGAATTAAGAATTAAAGAATTTGTAATATTTCAAGCTTAATAATAATGTAAACAAGAATAAAAGATTTCTCTGCTCTCTTCTTACATCCCTTTAAATTAATAAATAGCAATGTTATTAGTAACATGATAGGCAAAGGAAAAATTATTTCTTGAATAATTAAATAAATATCCACGTTATTAATGAACCGTAAAAAAATTATTTCTTTTGCATTTAATATTTTATTTTATAACTATCAACAAAATGCAATCAATTTTATGCAATTTAAAGTTATATTTTACGATATACATTTTATATCTATCGACATCTCATGTTATTCGTAATGACCAACGTTAGTATGTGTCAGAGGAAAACACAAGATGAACAATTCGACGAAACACTTTTGAATGATGATAGTGGCGAAGTAAAGCGGGACGTTGATGTCGAATGGCATTGCGGGAACGAGTCAGGAAGTAGAACTTCCGAACAGATTCCCCTGTTACAAATTAACTGCGGATCCTGGAAGTTAGTCTGACTTTTGTCAGGAGAAACGTGCGAGATTCATTCAAACGGACGGGTGCTTTGTTCCGCACCATTTCAATGATGATTGCGTGATTTCATTGTATAACGGACCGGTTGTCATATAACTCTGCGTGATTTTCATTTGATTCTTAATCAATCTTTCCGTGCTCTTTCGCATGAATTCATTTACGTTCTATATAAAGAGCAGGAAGAATTATGGGTATGTCATTATGATAAAGAGAATATCGTGCTTAATACAAATGTACGTATGTTATCCAAAATCTGCTTTAATTAAATTTAACGAAATTTAATAAGAAATAAGAATAGAGAGAAGATCAACAAATTACAATATGCAATTTCATTAAATAATTATTTACAGTTGCATTATTCAATTTAGTATTACAATCGTATGAAATGAGGGTTATTGAATGTATACATGAGAACAACACAAAATTATGTTGTTCAATTATTATTAATTATATTGTTCAAAATAACACTTTAATTGTTTATTTATATCTGGGTGACACAAATTTCCGTAAAGGTTCCGTCACCCATTTGTTTCACTAATTTCTAATTAAAAATAATTTTATAAGTTAAATATTTTAATTTAAGATATTAAACAAACAATGTTATACTAACGAAAGGCATTAAGATATTAAGAAAAATAATAAAGTATTAAAATAATATACTAGGGCTGTGTTCCAAAATTCATTGCCAGTGCTGTAGAAAATGTAGAATATGCAACGTAAACTGTAGATTTTCAGTGCTGGCAGTGAATTTTGGAACACAGCCTAGGTTTATTAAACTCAATAGAAATCAGCTTGGCAGTCAAAGTGTTAAGAGATAATTCTTTCAGATCATTCCTTTCAAATGCTTATACAAAAAAATAATTATTCTGAAATATAACAATTTAGATAGATACAGATCTAAAAATAATTTTGTCGGATTATTAAAATAATTATGTAGAATAATCATGTAGAGAACGCTTAAACTGGTTGCTAGAATGTCAAAACTTTTTGCTCATCATGCTTCCTACACAGTTTCCTACACAATTATTTTATAGTTCAACAAAATTATTTTTAGATCTGTATCTAGTTAAATTTTCAGATACTTCCAAAGCAAAATCGTTTTTCGTGTATAACAGACATAATAGAATAAACCTAGTATTTCAAAAACTAAAATATCTACCACGTTATATTGAGAGAGTTCCATTTGCACACATATTGCGATCATTCATTGGCCAATTTAAAATAAAATATTCTCATTGGTAAAGCAGTGAAAATCATTAGAAATCAGCTGATGTTTGCGGTGTATAATCGGTAATGTAAATAAAGGAAATCTTCTCGTTATATTTACATTCGAAGTAGTGATTTCATAATGGCGCATTGTGCATATTGAAGCGTAATAGGCAACTGATAAAATTAACCAGACCGTGCACGATGCTTACGCCGGATCTCGCTAATGCCAGTGATGGTACCGCGAGTATACACCGTCGGCGGGATGATAAACGTACATTTCCGTATGTGTATGCAATACATAACGATTCGTGGAATTGTTAGGCCCACAGTTACTGTCGCGCGGCCGTGAACAATTTAATCTCGCTGGATCGTTTCTAGCGCCGATCGATGGCAGGTACAAAATTGCCGACGCCAGGATCCGCCGTCGGATATACGCGGATACCAGCGTCGCATCGCGTCGGCCGTACGTACGTGGCAGCGTTCAACAAAGCGTGCAATCCGCAGACCACAGAGGACGCGGACACGTGGCTCGTTTACGGCGGTCTTTAATCGCGTCGGAACTTCGGTCATGGTTTTCCATTTACCAAGTCCTGCACTCGGAATCGTGAAATTCCGCGGTCAACAGTGCCGCGTTCGCGTAACACGATTGGCGTATGAAAAAAAGATGTTAGTCATCATTTGATGACAGTTTCTTCAAAACGACGTGTTATTATCATGATTTTTCACAATTTAATCATTCAAAAATTGAACAAATAAAAATTATCGAGCAGAAATTGCTCTAAATTCTTAGATAAGTGTTTGACCCTCTAATAATAACGTCGGAGTCAAATGTGTCACCCCATAACTTCATTCGTCAAAGCGTTTTTTATTTTACTATTATATTAGGTGTTGGAATTAATTCGTAGCGTTTTTTAATGAAAGAATGTTATTTATTTCACATGAGCATTAAAAAATACATTAATGAAAGTACTTCCCATCACTTGTAAAACGCTACGAATTAATTCCAACACCTAATACAATTATTTAAACTCTACTGAGTAACCTTTATTGTATTTTTTTTTACTTGAACTGGAAAAATTAGTAAGATTTATTTAAAAATATATTATTAAGCACCGACATTCGCTTTGATCGAATATGACCTTCGCTTATATGTGTACTTTAGTCTATAAATAACCAGAGGAAAAAGTTTCATATTATTATTTACCTTTTTTTACCTATTTTGCATGGTGATTAGATGAAAAATGAATAAAAAGAGCATCGAATCTGATCTCCATCTTAGAAAATACATTCTAAAAAAAATTTTACGTTAATAATTCTGTATTCAATAATATATGCAAATGTTTTCTCTTAAAAATTTCCGCAATAATGTTACAGTTAAGTATAATTTTTGTTATTAATTATAAAAATTATATAAATTTTATAAAAATTTTATAAAAAAAAGTTTTAGTATGTTCCAAAATTTAACACATCTGCAAGAACCTCATTTAATGAAGATTGTGCTAATAATTTATATACTTGCTTAAGAAAAAATGAAAAGTGAAGATAAATCAGAATGAAGTCGGTAAAGAGATTGTGAAATACATGCGGATGACAGATCGAGTTGCTGATGGTAGCAGATTTTGTTTCGCTTACAGAGAAATACAAACGAGCGACTTAATCATGCGCGCAAGATGACAGCGGTACCATGGATAAAATCCTTTGTAACGGAAGCGAA